CTTTTTGGACGGACACAAGGCGCGTGGATTCGAAGTCTGTAGCCGTTGCCAACTTGGATAATGCGTCAGCGTGCGCATTCTCCTCCCTTGGTATCTGCGCATATGTTACTGCTTCGAATGTTGTGGCTCTCAGCTTGACGCGCTCCATGTAATGCGCCAGTGTGTCCTCCTTGGCGTCGAACGCACCATTCAGCTGGTTGACCGCCAGGCCGGAATCGGATAGTATTCGTATCGTTCTTGCTCCCAGGTCGTGAGCGGCCGTCATCCCCGCCAAGATGGCCTCGTACTCCGCAGCGTTGTTTGTTTTCAACGCCCTGAACCTGATTGCGATTTCGTGCACCGCACCGGCAGGTGTGCGCACCACCACCCCTGCTCCGGCGCCATGTTTGCTCGCCGCTCCATCGACGTAGACTTCCCAAACGCCCTCCGGCGTTGTTTCGAGGGTCACCCCTTCGGCGATGAAGTCCGCTAAGATTTGGGCTTTTATTGCTGGCCTTGGCGCGTATTGAATGTCGTATTCCGACAGCTCGACCGCCCACTTGACCATGCGGCCCGACACTTCCATCGAAGTCAGAATCTTTTTTAGTGGGAGGTTTGTCAGGACGGTGATTTGGTGCGCTTGGAAGTACGGGCGTAGCTTCTGTGAAGCGCTTACTAGTGCCAAGGCGGCCTTCTCGATCGAGGAATATCTTGTTTCCGCGCTGACGAGAGTGCGCGAGGTGTAATACACTGGTTGCTCGGTTTTGCCATCTCTTCGAGATATCAGCACTGCACTCACGGCCCTGGTTGACACAGCGAGATACAAGAAAAGTTTTTCATTAAGCTTGGGGGCAGTCAGTACAGGGGGGGATACAAGATACGCCTTTAGTTCTTGGAATGCTGCTTCGCATTCTGTCGACCATGTGAAGCGCGTCCCGTTCTTGAGTGTCTGGAAGAAGGGCGCACATTTGTCAGCGGACCTTGGTATGAATCTCCCCAGTGCCGCTATCTTGCCATTCAGAGATTGGATTTCCAATGCGTTCCGAGGCGCCCGTAGTTGTTGGACCGCGGTGATTTGCTTCGGGTCGACCTCTATGTCGCGCTTGGTTATCATGAACCCAAGAAATTTTCTCGCTTCCGCTCCAAAAACACACTTGAGTGGGTTGAGGCGGAGGCTGTGCTTGCGGAGGGCTTCGAAAGTCTCGCGCAGGTCCTCCAGGTGTGACTTGCCCGCCTTCGTCTTGACAATGAGGTCGTCCACATACGCCTCGATGTTCCGCCCGATTTGTCGCGAGAAAACAGTGTCAATCATTCTCTGGTATGTCGCGCCCGCGTTTTTTAATCCGAACGGCATCCCTACGAAGCAAAAGTTCCCGAACGGTGTCATGAACGCCGTTTTTTCTTCGTCTTCCACGGACATTGGGATTTGGTGGTATCCTGAGAACATGTCTAGAAAAGACAATGTCTCATGGTCGGCAGTTGCGTCGATCAGCTGGTCAATGCGTGGTAGGGGATAAGGGTCTCCCGGGCATACTTTGTTGATCGTGGTGTAGTCGACGCACATCCGCCAGGCTCCTGACGATTTTTTGACTAAGACCACGTTTGCCAGCCACTTTGGATACTTCACGGGGCGGATCAATCCGGCTGCTAATAGGCGCGCCACCTCTTCTTCTATCGCCTTCAGCTTATCGCCGGTGAAGATCCTCCGCCCTTGTTGCCTTGGCTCCGCGTTGGCTGGGACCGCGAGGCTGTGTTGAGCTACTTCTCTGGGCACCCCTGGCATGTCCTCTGTGCACCACGCGAACAGCTCCTTGTACTCTTTTAGCAACGTCACGAGTGGTTCGATTGCGTCGCTGCCGACGTGAGTGGAGATGCGTATCTTCCTAGTCGGCTCGGCGGAGTCCAGCGCGACCTCGAAATCGGAGTCCATGGACTCCGGTCGGGGTTCTTCGGCTCTTGTGTCGACTATGTTGGTTTGACGCGCCACAACGCGGTCTTCCCATGTCGTTCCCCGCGCTTCCCCAACTCCTCTTTGTGTTGGGAACTTGAGCTTCTGGTGGCACGTCGACGGGAGGGCCATGAACTTCGCGAGGAAAGGTCGGCCCAAGATGCCGTTGTGCGCCGATTCACAATTGACGATTGTGAACTCTACTTGCTTGGAGACGCGCGGTTCCTGGTCGCCGATTACCACTGGGAGGGTGACCACCCCAATCACCGGGACTCTGGTTCCGGAGAAACCGACCAGGTTGCCTTGCGCGGGCCTGATTAGGCGTGGGTCGATGTCCATTTTGTTAATGGTGCTCTGGAAGAGGATGTCAGCCGCACTACCCCCATCTATCAGGAGACGGTGGGTCTTGCAGGCGGCAATCAGCGCGGTCACGATGAGTGGCTCCTCTGACGGGACTCCTTGTGGGAACTCCGCGTCATCAAAGCTCAGATTGAACTTTGTCGGGGTGTCGACAGCCGCGCACTCCATTGCGCGCTCACGCTTGGTTTTTTTCTTGGGGCGATCTCCTTCAACCGTTACCACCCCGATTTCTTTGCGCACCACGTACGCGCCTGTGTCGTCGTCGTAATCGGCTTGTGGGGGTGGGGGCGGGTGCTGCGGGGCCTCAACCTGCTCTTTCTTCACGTGAATGAATTCGGTTAGTAATCCTCGCCGTACGAGGCCCTCTATTTCGTACCGTAGCTCTCGGCAATCTTCCGTCTGGTGCCCCGTTGCCCTGTGGAATTCACAATGCCTATTTGGATTGCGTATGTGTGGCTGGGACTTCAATGGGGCAGGCCAATTGAGCTTGTAGCCTTTCTCGCGGAGGACGTGGAACACGTTCCTCACGGAGTCGTTAAGGGGAGTGTAGGCATTGGACGCGCGCCTGTCTGGCGATCGCCCGCGATGCGCCTGCTCTGGTGGGGGAGGAGGGTTGCGCTTCGGGCCACTGTGCATCTGTAGCAATTGGTCTCGTGGGATTGGGGTTGGAGGCTGTCGTCGCGCCAGTTCCTCTCGCGGCATTTTTGCTGGTTCGAAGCGTCTGACGGATCCCGCCCCCAGGGTCTCTTCTAACGTGATTGCCTTTTCGATCTTCATTTCCAATTCTGTTGACAGCGTGACGGGCCTTTTTGCTAACGCCCGCTTGAGCTCCATGTTGTTGGTGGCCTCCATGAGGTGATGGGCGGCGGTTTCGGGGGTAAGGTCGCGGACAGCCATCGCTACCCTGGACCATCTGGCGTAGAAGGCTCTCAAGCTTTCTCCGTCTTTTTGCCTGATATCTATCAGGGCCTTGAGGTGGAGAGGGCGCCGCTTCTGGGACGCGAACTTTGTTGTGAACAGAAGTATGAACTCTTCGAACGAGCGGATGATTCCGTTCGGGAGGCGGTTGTACCAGTCGAGGCATATTCCCGAAAAGGTTGACGGAAAGGTTCTGCACAGCGCCACATTCGAGTTTGTTTGGAGTTGCATGCGCAAGCAGAAGGTGCTCACGTGGTCTTCTGGGTCGGTCGTGCCATTGTATGTTGGGAGGGTGGGTGGCGCTCCGCTTATGTGCTCCGCCATAATTTGTGCGCTCAACGGCTGGTGGAGAACCTTCTTGGGCGGGTTAGGTCGGTATTGCGGAGACAGGTGTTGCTCCAAGAAGCTGAGGTCCGCCCGCCCTGGTAGTTCGATTCCCTGCGTTTCTCCCGCGGGGAATTCCGCTGGCGCGTGTCGTGGTGGTTGGGCGGTTCCGGACGCTTCTCCCACGGCTTGTTGAGGCGCGACCGCCGTTGCCTCTGCTGTTGGCGCGGCCTCCCTGCTCATCATGAGCGCGATGACTTGGCTCATTTGCTTCTGCATGTCGGCTATGACGTTGTTTTGCTTTGTCACCAGCTCCCTCATTTCTTTGGCTGTCAGTTCGAGCTCTTCTTCTTCAATAAGCACCGCGTTAAGGTTGCTGGCTTCTGCGAACGCCCTTGGGTCGGTCATCGCCTTGATGGGCGTTGCTTCGTCAGGTTGATCGTGGTTGCGTTCTGCCATTGGTGGGTTTTCTTCTGCGCTTCTTCTTGGCCCCACGGTGGGCGCCAATTGTTTGAACCTAACTGAGTGTAGGAGTGAGGTTCGAGTGAGAGTTAGGGTCAAGAAGGAGCGCAAGCAATGGGTTTAATCGAGGGTCGGAAACTAGAGAATTGAGTGGGAACCAGAGAAGGGATTTTAGGGAGATAAGTTGTTATTGTAGAGAGAGAGTGGTGAAAAATGCGATCCCCCTCACCCACCGGAGTAAATGCCATATTTATAGGCTACACGGTGGTAGGTGAGTGGGTGGATTACATGATGGCATTTTGACCTTGACATGACCTTGACATGACCACTGACACGTCGGGGATTTAGGCCATGCCTCTACCTAGGACGTGTCAGAGGTGTACCTACGACCATCTCCCAGATCCCAACGTGGCCGCCCCTCGGGGATTGTGGGCGAGACTCCTCTTAGCCCTGTGGTTTAGTACTCGCTGGGCACTCTCAGTATGCGCGTGGCCTGTGACGCGCCCGGCTCTCCGCGCCTTGGCGTTTCCCGCTCGCGCGCATCTTTGTGAGGGGTTCAGGGTCTTCGCGCGTTGGTTCTTTCCATCCGCGCACATCCTCTAGTATCTACCACGTTGTGCCGCGCCTCGTTCCTTCGTGCGCGCCTTAGGTCGGCGCGCCTTACTTTGCGTGGTTAGGTCCGAGTCACATGCCCAACAAAGACCGTTCAGTGTTGGAAGTTGACCTGAACCATTAATTCCCCTGCATCTACGATTCAATTTTGTATTGGCAGAAAAAAACTGAAGAAGGATCGTGCAATCTGGCGATGGAAAAGGATAGATAGAGGAAGAGAACCCATTTTTTCCTGTGTGGTGTGCTTCTCTTTTGCTGCATACACCACCAGTCCAGGCCAGGCCAGCTAAAACGTGGTCCACCATCTTTTGTGAATCATGCAATCTTTGATTAATTAAGAGCATGAATTCCTTTTCTTCTTAATCAATAATATTAATTAGGTACCTGTGGCTGTCAGCCTAATGAAAGAGATAATGACCTTCATAACAATGTATAATTATAATAACTAATATTAGCAAACAACAAATACAGTCGCGACCTGGCAACTTGGCACTTTGTAAACTAATAATTCATTCCCCCTCTCTTGACGCTCTATTATTTCCAAACATTAACAATCACATTCCAACAGGTAAAAACAATTAGGGGCAAGAAACAGAAAAAAACTAACATTAAGAATTTGCAACGAGCAAACGGGTTTGGTCTGTTTTATCACCACCACTGGGCCTAAAAACTGGATATAAAATGCTGGGCCTAATACGGCTAATTTTGAGCAACTAACGTTGAGGCCCAGCCCAACAAATGAATCGTGCATACTTCTTTCTAAACTACTAAAAATACACAGAAAAAACAAATTTGCAGGTTACAAATTTACATTTCTCGATCAAAAGAACCCGTTTGGTGAAGAACTTTAAAAGAGTGAACAAAATGATGGGGGATAACAAGAGTGAATACTGTAATCTCTTATCAGTCTTCCCATTGCAGACAAAGGAGAAGGAAAAATGCTACAACCCATATTTAGTTGGGTCAGTAATTACCCATCTTCGTCGAGCATGTGAACACAGCAAGTAAACGATCTACCATTTTCACTGCTGCTGCTACTCGGTCATTGCAACAATTGGCAGTCCCCTGCAACGATCGGTGGAAAACATCAAATGCCAAACACTGATATATGCCACTATTGAAAGAGCAATCACACAGATCAATCCAGCAACAGCTTACCATCCACCATGCCTCGAGAAGTAGTCATTGTCCAGCGAAATGGCGAGGGCTAGAGTTATGGCTCTTTCAGAGAGACTCAGTGGACGGGCAACTTCCAGTTCTTGAACCTACTCAAAGAGGTGAAAGCTCAAAATTAATTTCATAGTTCAGAGTCGAAAGGAAGGTAAGACCTTGTCATCATGTCGCGAGATTCGTTTACCGGACTAGAACGGTTAATGTCCTGACTTCCAAACCGTATCACGTATTGCCCAGCATCTGTAAATATCTGCGTTGCATCACAGGAAGAATAAACTCAGCTACGTCATTTAGTTTCCACCAATGGTAACGGGCACTAGAAACGATCAAAGGAGATGCAACTCGCTGTGGCATCTAAAGATCTCAACAAAAACACATAATCCTAATTCAGCAACATTGGCCGTGGGAATAATAAACAACGAAGACTAAACCCTTTTCAATGTAAATATCTGCATTGCATCACAGGAAGAATGAACTCAGCTACTTCGCTTCATTTCCCCCAATGGTAACAGAAAGAAAACAACAAGCATATCAACCACTTGTCATACAATAAAGTTCTGGATCAAACAATAATCTATTTGAAATACTTAATAACAGGAATAAAATAGTAGTATAGAGAACATTTTGTGTTAATAGATCAATTATAACGAAGCTAACCTCAAACCCGAAGCCCCTCCAATCACGATCTATCTGACCCAGCACTTGATCATCAATGTCTTTCAAAGTGAAAGTCCAATTCCAAAGTCCAGGATTTTCAACCACTGCAAATTGCTTATTTCTGCAAAGGACATTGTGTTAGTTCTGGAAAGACAACTGGAGCCAACATTAGGTTGGGGTGCTTGATTCGCTTCTAAATGTAATATTCATGTCTAAGGTGTTTATGGCGTTTTAAGAACACAATTAGCTTCTACCACACAAAAAAACACACAGTAAGCTAGTACAACAAATTCCACTAATCCATTTACAACAAAAGAAATTAATAGAGACATAAGAAATCAGATAAATTGCGAGCTCCCAGCTTATGACCTCACACGTGATGTTGAACTAACATAAATGTGACATCCAGTTAGCTTATGAAAATTTTCAGAGCAGTCACAATAGCTCAAGGTGACAAATTATTGATCTAACTTCCTAGCTAGCGTGCAGGATCAAACAACATAGAAGAACAAAACATCCAAATGAGTTAAGGTTGAAACTGTTATACGGCCCAAAATCCCAAGTAGTGCAACCTTGATTGCAAGGTGAGTGTCTGAACAAAGAAACTCATGCTATTTCAAGATTACCCAAGATACAAGTCATAGATCCTCCTCCATAGGTGCCACCGTCTATGAACCACGCCGATCTCCTAGAAGAGGAACAAGGACCAAAAATCAACCAGGCTGAAACCATCAGTCAAAGGTCTCAGATGTATAGCAAACTATGCTAACATTACCTTGCCATTGATCTCTACATATATTGAGCTAGTTAACCACCAAAAAGGCCTCCGGACCTAAATCGACCAAATTAGGCAAATCTATGATACTGAGCTGATCCAAATATTAAGAAGCCAGCAACTGCATCAGAGTTAAATGGAATTCATTATCTGAAGTTCTCACCCTGAACAACTCGTTTGCCATGGCATCAGACACCAAGGCAACAAAAGGACGTCTGGTACGAAGAAACTGCAATGATAAGCGAACAGTTCATAAATTATATTCTCACATGTGCAAAACGGCATGCAGGGGAAGGGACAAAAGAAACTATGAAGCTTCAAACACAAATATAATACCTGCCTAGCTAACAGGTTACTCTGTTCACGGATGAGACCTACAGGCTGCAAAACAAACAGAATATTGCATCACAATGCATGAAAATCTGTCTATCAAACATGTTTTTATCTCAAAGATTAAAAGCAAGAAAGCATATATCTGCAACTGCACGGTAGAATGCTCACTGCTTGGGGGTAACAAACATCTACAACTGCATAACGATTCTCCTGCAACAACAAAAGAACTCAAGAACATAAATACAAGCCAAAGTACAATTTAGCAATGAGTATCACCAAAGCAAATAGTACTATTAATAGGTGTCAAGTGGTGCAACAGAAAAGCATAATACAATTTCCACTTAACACTAAATATATAAGCAAAATAACTAGCTGTTAAGAGCTTGATGCTCAAGAAATATTAGAAACAACTATTTGATAACCGAGTTGCACCCAAGTGCTGATATGTGCTCTACTAGGTAGCAAATACCTGCTCAAAACCTAACATAAGATTTGCCCACTCAATATCTCTGGTGATAAGTAAATTGGACCGTGCAAGAAGAGGTGCAACCTGAGCCTGCAGAACAAATCAAGGCCAGTTACCCAGACCATAAGTACGAAAGTATCGGGCCCCTTACGACTGGACATAGTTCTTCTCCAACCAATGAAATGAACTCATCAAACTCACCTCCTCTGGGGATGTTGGCTTGAGATAACCAGACAACGGCTGGCTGGGAGGAGGCTGCTCTAGAACTACTGTACCATCATGGTCAGAACTTTGTGAAAAGCATCTGTCTTCTACCCGCAAACCGCGATACTTATTGTTCTGCAACCTTTTCTTAGCAGATTTCTCGGCCTTCTTATCTAAAACCCACAGCTGAGCAAGGAAATTCCTACTCAAACGACTATCATTTGCTGCAGCACCATGTTGAAACCGGTAAGAAATGGCTTCCGCCCCATGTTTTACTACTTTCAAACGGGAGAAGTTTCCTCCAATTTCAGGCGGCATTGCATATCTACCAAACACATTCCTTGCAACGATCGCTGCTCCTTTCACAGAATGTAAATGTCGAGCAGCCGAGTAATTAAATGGAGACGCCGATTCTGGACACACCCTCATTGGAGATTGAACATCTTTACTCAGAGCAGCTGAACACGACGAATTAGACGCCCCGAAATGAGAAGCCAAAGTCCTATTACTACTCCTTAGAAACAAGTGGGAACCCTTTGCCCAATTCATCGTTTACCCAAGTTCCTGCAGCAGAGAATAAAAAGGCAAAGACACTTAATCAAGAATCAAAAAAATAAAATTGATCGATTGATATCGCCAAGAATGCGAAAGATAGGTAACAGAAAGCACACGAATGCAACAAGAAGAAGAAGAAGAGGATCGCGCGATCAAAGACTGTTTGATTGACATTCATTACTCTTTCGATAATCTCTCTCCTCTAATTCTCCCGGTAACAAACAGAAAAGTTGGGGCGAATCGCCGAAGAAGATGAAACTCACACGGAACTCCAGAAGCAGTTTCTTGTTTGCCGCCGACACTTCTACTCCAAAGTCTGAAAATGCCGAAAAATCATTCTGCAGTCCGAATGGCGCGAACTTTTTTTCTTCTTAGAACTGAATTTGGGGACGGCGGCGATGGCAGCTGGAATCGAAGAAGTCTCTGCGGTAGGGGGAAGAGGTAGGGACTGGGAATGGGAGGAAGAACAAATGGGTTTTGGCGAAGCAGAGTGGCTACAGAAGAGAAGAAGATTTAACCATTTGATGAACAAACTTGTACGGCCCAAATCAATCGGGCCAAGCTACTAACACGGACTAAGAAAAGCCCAAGGCCAAGCTACTAACACGGAATAAGAAAAGCCCAACTAAGATGGGCCCTTCGTGAGGCCTAATAGAAGAACAGCATGATTCATCAGTCCAGTCTCCCGCCCAAAATTAACTTCTCCGTCAAAAGTCAAAGCTTTCTCGTACGATACCAATTGGCGACGAGGGTCTAAAATTAAACAATGACACTCGGAAAACCACAGAATGGAAAAGGTCAGAGCTCTAAAATTAAACCAGTTAACAGCCTTTTTGCATTCCTAATCCCGCTACCCAGTTGACGTTCAACCCGACACTTTGAACATTCATATTCTGTTACGGTCAACTACAACTTCTGCTGATTGATTCTAGGCTGACGTCCCGGCGGCAGCGGCAGCAGAGGACTTGCTGTACTCTTCCATTTCCTTCTTGTAAGCATCCATGGCTTCTGCGGCTTTCGCATTCCAGACTTGCCTCTCCTCCTCGCTCAGTTCCTACAATGTAACAACGAAAAGAAAACACCCTCAGTCGGATTCATGGTTTCCATGAGCTTGGTTGGTTTAAACACTGCATTTGAAAAGTGGGGAGTTTTCTGAGCTTTTTGTTATTACCTTCCACTTCACAGAGATCAGTGCAGTGATGGTGGAGTTGTTTGTTCCGGGGCGCTCCTCCATCAAGCTTTTCCTTGTTTCCTTGCTGCAGCAAAACCAAGAAGGGGAGGATTCATTCAGCATTTTACAATTCCTTGAGTTTTCCATCCATGGAGGGGAAGGGGTGAATGATGTTGAGAATTGTTCACCTGAACAATAAGAAAGAGGATGCAGGCTTCTTTGGCTTGTTAGGATCTGCAGCCTGGTCCTTCTTCTTCTTCTTCTGTTTAATCTCTTTAGTTTTCTGCAGAATCACCACCAAACAGATTTAGCTAAGATATATGAGCTCAATCAAGGACCTATAGATGTTAGAGAGCAGCAAACCTTGATTATGTTTTCTGTTTTTTCCTTCTTCTTCAGCAGTTGCATGGCTTCCTGCTTCTGAAGTTTCAGCAGTTCTTCCTCTTCCTTCTTGACATGCGAGGCTTCTTCCTCCTTTTTCAGCTTGTAAGCCTCCATCTCAATCAAGTAATTCTCCTTGTTCTTCTTTGCCACCTGCACAAAAAACAGAAGGGTGTATAAGACAACCTGCAAGGCTACTAATATAGTAAAAGGCCTGGTTTGGAGGGGGTCTCTGGCCATGAACAGACCTCTTCATAAGGAGCTTTCTTTTTCTCTGACATGTTTTTCCATTCTTCACCAGTGATCTTTGCAACCTGCCAATCAGACCCAACTCCAGCCATGAGAACAGATAATAAAAAGAAGGGAATCTGGAAAATAAAACAGAAGGGAGAAGCATGAGATTCTTCTTAAGTTACCTCAGTAACATTCTTGTTCTCAGCAACCAGTGCAGCCCTTCTCTCATTAGTGTAGATGAAGAAAGCTGACATTGGTTGCTTGGGCTTCAATGGGTCTTTCTCTTTCCTACATTAGAACAAGCGACACTAAGATATCAGTAATTCTGCTATCAAAATAGATGCACTATCAAAATTCACAAACAATGCTACAAGAACATCAGTAAGGCGATTCTAATTACTTGGGTTTCTTATTCCCTTGATCATCAGCTTCGTGCTTGAATTGAAGGTACTGCTCAAGCAACTCCATGGCTGTCTTCTGCTTCTGATCCTCTTCCAGGAGCTTCATGGCTTCAGTCTCGCGCTTCTCCTTTGCCATCACCTGCAAGTAGACTTCCTTCTCAGCCTGATACTTCTCCTCGTACGGCTTCTTCTCCTCTGCACTCACTGTCTTCCACTTAGCTCCCAGAATGACGGAGACTTCTTTGAAATCAGCATTTGGATTCTCCTTCTTCATCTACACACACAAAATAGACAAACAAGAAACAGAGATCATCACCACTATTTCCAGATATTTCCATGGTAGCAAGCAGAAAACCACCAATTCCTATCGCACTATCTTACCTCAGCCCATTGATCTTTGTACCAGAGGATATAAGGCGGAGACGGCCTTTTCTTTTCAGCCCCGCCCTTCTTTTTCTTCTTCTTGTCTTTGTCATCTTGCTCGTTGTCTTTCAATATCAGGAAGTTCTGTGAGGAAAACCAACAAACACCTTGAGTGCAAAATATAGATGCCGAGGATGAACACATAAACATCCAGATGGAAAATCAATAAACACATTGAGCGTAACCAATATAAACCGACTATGATCACATCAATATACAGATCTATGCTTCTAAGAAGAAAAAGTAATCAAATACAAGCGATGGCACTTACGAGATTGGGCTTGAACTCCTTCAGCTTCTGCAATTTCTTGAGCTCCGCCTGCAACTTCTCCTGCTCTTTCCCCTTGTTCTCGAGCTCCTCTTCTCTCGCTCTCAGCATCTCGTCTTTCTCCTTCAACATCTCCTCCGTCTTCTCCTTCTCCAGTGTCAGTTTCTGAAGCATTTCCTGCATCTGCTCCAGCTCTTTGTCGAAGGACGACGACTGCTGCTGCTTGGCTGCAGCGGCGGCTTGCTGCTTCCCGCCTCTGGCCGCCTTCCCCTTGACCTTCTTCGCCGATGACAGAATCTCGCTGTTCTCCTTCATCGGATCGGTCTCAGACGGCGGAGGAAGAACAGCAGCAGGAGAGGACTCGGTGAGAGCCTGAGCCAGGACGTTCGCCTCGCTCGTCGACTCCTTCTTCTGTTTCAGGACTTTCCTGCTGTTCTTCTTCTTCGCCGGGATCGGAGAGGAAGGAACTGCGACTTCCGCCATTATTGTAGCAGGAGCCTGTTGCGAGATACAGTGAGAGAGAGAGTGGACGGAAATTTTGACGAAGCTCGGAAATGGGGATTGGATTGAATGAGCAGACGAATGAATTTGTATGGGAGAATCGGCAGAGCGCTGCAGCGGCTGCTCAACGGGAAAGCAATTTCAAAATTCAAATGACCATGAGCGTAGGCCATTGACTGTCAAAATATCAACCAAGGCCCAATGGGCTGCCCAACAAGAGTCCGACTCGACAAGAAATAGACTCCAGAAGCCCATGGACCAAACAGGCCCCAAAGCAGCCTTGTTTGCTTGAAGAATCAAAATCTGCTTGGAATGTAATAGTGCAGGCATCTTGTTCAAAAAAGTCAAAGCATTACATTCAAAGTGACAGCCACTGTCAAGAAGATTACAACCATAGAACTATACTTTCCTCTATAATTAATCACAAAAAAGCTGAAGCCTATGCAAAAAAATGCGAACTTTGAACACCCAGAACAGACAACTTCTGGGCAGCAGCTATACATTTGAAAACTGGATCTTGAATGAAGCTGCTCTTCATCTTTGATTACACAAATGAAACATCTCCCAGAAAGAATAGTTGTCAAAAAAATGAAAACTCAATAAATAATCGTTCATTCAACCATTTACCACCAGCTCCATGAGCACATCGTTCAAGTAATCGATCGGACCAGGCAAGCACCAGTGCAGGCAGTCATTCTGAACCGTCGCGTTCTTGTCTTTAGCAAATGGTTGGAAATTTCTGTATGCATCAGGGTGGCCATCAGGCCTTGTCAACAGCAGATTAGTGAAGTCGACGAGCTTGAGGTTCACCCCAGATTCAGCTGCTTTGGCGGAGGCCTTCTCGAACTCGGCCAACTCCACCTTTCGCAGGATCTTGTTCACTTCCTTCAACTCGAACTCCCCTTCTTTCGCCGGTGCAGTCTGTTGGCACGTCCCTCCGTTGTGCCACTCCCCCTCCTGGAAATGGTCCGGAGTAGATGTCCTGAAGAATATCTGTCCCTTGTGCTTCGATTGCAAAATGGTGCTCATCGCGAAGCTGAGGGCTTTCTCGTATGCGAAGACGAATCCTGTCTCGGTCAGGTTCTTACCTGCCGGGCAGAAATGGCAGCCGACCACGGTGTTGTTCTCGTGGTAGACTGCAGCTTTGAGGAACCATTTCCCAGTCGAGATTATGGCGTAGTCGAAGCTCGGGTAAGCATCTACCCAGCTCTTGTCGAGTTTGTCGAGCTGCAACTGGACTTCTTTTGTTGAGACGCCGTTGTAGTCTTCGAATATCGCTGCCTCTACCAGGAAGGGCGCCCAAATGTTTGCTAGGGTGAAGTTGTAGGTAGGGAATTTCCATGTCTTGGATCGGAATTCCTTGTCATGGTAAACTTCCACAGCTTCTTCAACCTGAAGGGAAATGATGTTTCAGTCTGTCAAAAAAGAAACATAGCAGAGACAAACACTAACAGTGATGGAATTCATAAGGCAACTAGGAAAACACCCAGCAGATAAAAAAAATTAAATCGTGCAGTCAGAATGTCCAAAGTGTTGCTACAAGAAATCTAACACGGAATGCCAGTCCATCGAGGAAATGAGCTGACTGTATGAAGCTGGTATTTGGGAAGGAAAAGCATTTCGCAGTAAAATGTACTAGTTGCCGTCTTGCCGATGAGCCATAATATCAGAGTTCTTAACAATTAATGGTGTTCAATATGCAGCCACCCTTCATCTATGTGGCAGCCACAAGGAGCATTAATGTCACTTGCCAATAAGAATACAAAATTGCCGATTTTTTTATTATCAAACTATACAAACAGCGAGGATTGTTAACATAACCCCAACGAGGACATCAACGGACCTTCTTGAAACATTAAAAGGACAATTCCCTAAAGATCAAATGCAAGGCCAAGCTAGAAACTAGCAAGCAGATCACAAGTTAGACACATAATCCGATAATATCAACTGTGATACCGTAAGCATGCTAACTTTCTTAAACGAAGAGACTTTTAAGGGAAATCAGAGATAACTGGAGCACATTTTCACAGAAGTTACTCGAACCAGTTTGCGATCAAGGAAATTTCATTATTGTACACCGTAACAGCACAAGCATTACTACCCCCACTGCATTATAACATTATCACTACATCCCTCTACTACTAAATATTGTATAGGTGCAGGAAAGAGCATTTCCAAATTTCTATATAAGGTGGAAAACAGAACCAGACACCGAATGAGGATCACAACAAGAAAAGGCCAGAAGCACAAGTAGCTAAGCAACTGCTGAATCAAAACCACAAAAAGCAAAAGGCTGAAAGTTAAAAGATCATTGTATTCATCCTTATTTTCCTATGGGCTGAAAAGCTGAAGGTTTATAGTTACAAACTTACAATGAAGCTTTATAATATCAACGGAATACAGAAATTGACAAGTAAGCAAATACCAGGACAAGACTCTGTGCAGTAACCAGAGCAAAAACACATCAAATTAACATTCAACTATCTAAAAGCCATACCGTAGAAAGCATGCACAGCAGTGATTCGGCATGGTTGCGTGATATTGAATCACCAATCACCCCCCAAGATTTATTCCTCATCAACTCCAGGAATCTGTGTGCATCAAACGCAGGTAACTCACAGCGGCGGGGCTTCCACTTCCAATACAGATAACCAGAATCAGGGCGTCCATTCTTCATACAGTTCTGGTGCCCATCCATCAAGCGGCAGGTAGCATTTGTGTACATTGGACCAGACGGTTCAGGAACCCAATCACCAACAAGCAGATTGCATTTTCCTGCATTATAAGTCTTCAACTTCCATGAGACCAGAACCCAATAGCTATCAAGTATCAAGAACCAAAAGCTAAAGATTGCTCCCATTTCTAAATGATCATAAAATTCCACTCAACGTGACATGTCAAACAAACTGAAAAATCTCGAGTGTGCTCAATACAGACACTTCATAGGTTAGCCAAACATAACCTCCCAGCCTATCTAAGCTACCAATTCCATGTTCATCAATCCATGAGCAGTACGAAACTGAAGACCCACAAAATCATTTTCACCAATTCCTCACATCCATGGCAAGCCTCCCAAAAAAGTTGCAGTCTTTGCATATCCCCAAACACAGAAACATGGGACGCATAAAGGGCAAAAACTCAAAGAAATTATCATTGTACCATCATCAGGCGCCTCATTCTCATCTGGATCCGGCCGTCCATCTACAGACATAGTTGAATTGGAAACTTCAGCAGCAGCCGCAGAGGAAGAAGAAGGCTGTGGAGCCGGCGGCGGGCCCGGCAAATCATCTACGGCGACATCTGACGGCGTCTCCAACATTTCCACTGGTGGAGGGGACACCGGTAAATCAGGTGGAGGGGAAACCAGCGAAACAGGTGGAGGGGAGACCGGCAAATAAGTCCTAGCAGTAATGTAGGAAGAAGAAGAAGAAGAAGCTGCTGCCTCCAATTCAGGATCGAATCTGGTGGATTGATTGAAGAGGAGGTGGAAAGCAAGACCCACCACGAGGACCGAGATTCCGAATTTCAGTATCCACTGGTTCTGCTTGTTCAGCGACCATAGTTTCAAGAATTGCTTCATGGTTTTGCCCCCAGAAGAGGGAAACGAGATCTTCCTCCTTTCCGATTATGGCCGGGACAGTGATGACCGAAAAAGGATGGGAGACAGAGGAGAAGGAGACTGTTGTGGTCTGGAATGAATGTGTTCATTAAACCATATCATCATTTCGAGTAAGGAATGAACGGAAGGAGACAAAGATTCATTCGATTTCTCTTTTCTTTTATCTGGAAAATACATTCAATAATTCATCTTCTCTCCGCATTTATTCATGAAGATTATATTAATCAGAAGGAGATATGGTTCAATGTCGGTGTTTACGGGGGGAAATGACATTGGATGTGAAAAGTGACCTTAATTAGGTGATCATTTGCTTTTCTGTAATGGTGAATTAGGTCATGATTTGTTGTTGGGATGGTCTTTTGTTGTTTCAATGCTCTGGGATTATAGAGTCTTTTAGGTGAATGATTAGTATATTTGAACAACTAACTCATCCACTCATTATTTTTTAAATGAGTTCTAACAGAATAATTGTTAAATATATATGATTGAGATAAATGATACATTTGTTTTAATGACTTAATTAAGTTACTTCGAGCCAAATGATATTACCCTACAAACACAGTCACACAGATATCGGCATGTGAGCTGAACATAGTGTATATGACGAGATTAGTTGGGTATGCTAAAGAATCAATAGACTCTTGTTTGGAAGTCCAAACATAAAACGACATGCCTGAAATCACATTATCGTACAAACGTCGGATCGGCATAGGGTAATCGAACTCTTCGATGAAAGCCTGCAAACCATCCGGAAGTTCAGCGCTTCTTCCTTTGAACCTTCTGAACTCTCTTGGCAAAATAGCAATGTGCTCATGGATTGATCTTCGTCTTCTTTAACAACCAAATCAATGGCAGAAGAGATGCGTCGTAGCCTCGTAGGACAACCTGTTTCGTTGATGCTTTCCTCTTTAGTCGGAAGAATCTGAACGCTTGTATTGGCTTTCCTACGATACCATGGAGACTACCATGGATCGGGTTATTTCTAATGTGATTTAGACGCCATTGTCGTCGGCTTTTTACCAAAAAAAAAAGGCCAAATACACTTGTATAGCCAAAACTTTGACGGTTTTGCCAAATATAGCCACTTTTGGAGAAATACCAATAATAGCCAGTTTTTTAAAAGTTTGATGACAATAATAGCCATTTCCGTTACATAATTTAACGGCGTCAGTGACACCGTTAGTTAAATTAACGGAACACTGACTTGGCTGCCAACTCACCCTCTATTTCATTTCCAACTCAGCACTCACACGACACGTCATTTACAAAAATAAAAAATTCGCCCTATCCCTATTGACCTAATCTCTTCGAACCCTCTTCTTTCTCCTCCAGCAACCCCTCTTCTTCTCCATCAAAACCAGCAGCTGCCGCCGGTCAGTCCTCGCCACCGCTGCCAAGATCGATTGTGTTCAGCTCCTGATTTTGCAGAGTTCTCTATCATTGCTGCCACCTTCAGCAGGCTTAGTTTCTCGTTGGAATTCACTTCACCTGCAAATCAGTGAGGCAAAAACACAAACAGTTGGCATGCATCAAACTCTACACGAAATTTTCGACCCCATAAAAACTGAAATCTGAAACCCAAGCTTCCCACAAGACGAGAAATCTGAAACCCAGTTTCCTTGGCAATTTTGGCAACTGGGTCGTCGAATCCGGCCGATTTCTCCAACTGGGAATCTCCAGAGACAAGCAAAGAAGCTCGCTGGATCAACCCACCGAGCATCTCGAACATCTCGTTCGAGTTCCACCAACCGAGCCGCCTCTCTGCTCTGCTCACGACACTGGTGAACAGCCACCGTCCTCCTCACTTGCTGCAGCAGCGCGAAGAGCTCCTCTGGCACATCTGGCGGGCGCTGGTGTTTGGAGATTTCTTCTAGCTTCGCTTGCTCTTCGTTTTGGATGGACTTGACTACGGCGACGGAGGCCTCCACTTCGTCGATAGAAGGCCTCGGCGGGAGGGATCTGTAGAGCCTCATGATTTCGGCGACGGTATCCACGAAGGCTGGCGACGGAGCTGCTGGCCCGCCGCCATCGTTGGATTTCACGGCCATGGCTGCTGCCTGGGAGAAGAGATGAGGATGTGTCTGTGACCCGGTCGGGGCGGCGGTGGGGCAGAGGCAGGGGAAGGAAACGAATCGGATTTTGAATCGAGTTTGGGCCTCGGATCCGGGTCCGGCTTCTGGTGTCTCTGCCGCTTGTAATCCCGGTGGTGGTGGTGGGATTTGGGTAGTTTGGAGAGCTTGTGGTTGTGGTTATGGTGGTGGTTTTTGGCGGCGGCGGTGTCGATGACGTCCTTGATGCTCTGAGCTGATTTACGGCACCTGGAGCTGGCGATGAGGTTTCGCGGAGCTGGGCTGAACACGTCGTCGAATGCTCTGGATTTGCATTGTAGGGATTTGAATGGGGCGGCGGAGGTAAGTGGAGCTAGGGATTTGAACGAAGGTGAACAGGTGGTGGTGGGGAGAAAGAGATTTATTTTTATTTATTTTTAATTTAATTTGATTAAAAATATAAGTATAAAATTTTAATTATTTTCCATCTAACATTATTTTTTAATAAAATATGCCACGTCAACCACTGCTGTTAGTCCAGTCAGCACGTTAATTAACACCGTCAAACAATTGGACGGAATTGGCTATTATTGATATTTCTCCAAAAGTGGCTATATTTGGCAAAACCGTCAAAGTTTTGGCCATGCAAGTGTATTTGACAAAAAAAAAAAGGGGGCCAGCTCCACATTAACCCATTTGACTCTTTGGGCCTATGTATACAATGAAGTATCCAGTCAGAAAGTGTAGATTCTAAATACTCATCGTTTTGCAGTCGTTCAGATTCTTTTTTTTTTTTTGGGTTAATACCTTATTTTGGCCCGAACTATGACCATATAATCAACTTTGGCCCGTGGTTTCAGAAATTAACATCCTGGCCTCAACTATGCAGCATATAGACTCAATTAGCCCGACACATAGTTTGACCGTCAATTTGGACGGTCAACTCTGTTGACCGTTAGTCAACACGCCATGTCATTGCCTAGTCAGCCTAAAAATCATTTAAAAAATGCAAATTTCAAATTATTTTTCTAATTTTTCTTATTTATTATCAAATTAACCAAAAATAAATTATAAAAAACATAAAATAAATTTGATTTTTATTTTTTGGATAATTTGAAAAATTATAAATTAACCAAAAATTATCAAATTATTTTATATTTTTGAAATTTCCCACAAAAATATAATTTATATCATAATTTTTAAATTTATAAAATTTATTTTGATAATTTTTGGTTAATTTATAAAATTTATCATTTTCAAATATCACAAAAAAATTATTTTATATTTTTAGAATTTTATTTTTTGGTTAATTGGAAAATGATAAATAATAGAAATTAAAAAATAATTTGAATTTGAATTTTTTTAATCATTTTTAGGCTGACTAGGCAATGGCATGGCATGTTGACTAACGGTCAACGGAGTTGACCGTCCAAATTGACGGTCAAACTATGCGTCGGGCCAATTGAGTCTATATGCTGCATAGTTGAGGCCAGGATGTTAATTTCTCAAACCACGGGCCAAAGTTGATTATATGGTCATAGTTCGGGCCAAAATAAGGTATTAACCCAAAAAAAAAAAGAATCTGAACGACTGCAAAACGATGAGTATTTAGAATCTACACTTTCTGACTGGATACTTCATTGTATACATAGGCCCAAAGAGTCAAATGGGCTAATGTGGAGCTGGCCCCACTCCAAAGCCCCAATACAGAGAGTACACTAGCTTTCCCCTTTTTGACTTGTCACAAGCTGAAAATATAGGCCGGGCCGGAGCCCAACTTTCCTCGCAGAGGTGACTCGGCCTCTTTCTATAACGTAAACGCGGCCCAACTATTGCTTTCTTCATCATTCGCAATTTAGATATCGACCCACCCACAAATAATTTCAAGGACATGTATTAGCGAATCTAAATATACGAGTGATGTGATTGTTACATACATTCGAGGTGGAAAAAAAAAATTATAACAACATTCGAGAAAGAGCTTTACAACATTTCGATTACATCGACGGAAGAATTCGGCTTGCAGAAGCCGGCGGCGAAGCAACTCATCTTGACAAGCCAAAACGCAGTCGTTTTAGGTACCGCCCCCGCCCTACTCTCCCGCCTCCTCCTCACCAGAATCGCCGCCAATGATCTCATCGTGCTCGGCCGCCGCCGGGCCGCGTCGGATCCGGTGGTTGCAGGCGGCGGCGGATTAATGATCCAGCGGCCGGAGTGCCACGGCAGGGACATGGTCCGGCGGTCGATGAGGTGTCCAAGCGACGCGACCTCGTGGGAGTCGTACAACGGGCTGCCACAGTCCCACACGAACAGCTCGCGACCTTCGCTGCTCGCCATGATCACATTAGATATGTTCTTTCCTCCATTGTTTTACTTACTTTGAGCTTTTTGATCGGTGTAAGTGCTTTGTGAAAGAGGAGATCGTATTATATATGTGAGAATAGCTTAGCTAATTAAAGGATTCTTGTTTGTATTGGGAGATTAAGACATTGATTAATGTAAGTAAATTATAAACAAAAACTATGGCTGCCGCCTTTATTTTGTTGTATTATGTGGACGGTATTTTTTGTGCGAGCGTGCTTATGGAAATCAAATTAAGGAATGGGATTTGCAATACGACATTTTTCCATTTGATTTTATTTTTGTCGGGTTCTGAAGAAAGAAAGCATCTGGAGAATTGGGTAGGTCACTTGTCAAATGTGGTTTGCTTGCTTCTCGTGGGTAAAAATTGACATCATTTGGGCCTAAATATAAGGGCCCATTGGCGTTCCAGAACTGACCCTATGGGCTATGGATCAAAATTTTGCCACCCAAAAAAGAGAAGATTAGGATCAAACATAAACAAATCCTTTTTTGATAATGTTCTCTTATTTTCCTCTTTTGGGATTGACTTTTGAGGTTATCCAATGAAGAAATGCATCATAGGTTAGGTTAGGTGGCTAAACAAAATTGTGGCGAATCGAATGGTGGACCGGCCTGACCAGTCAGTTGCTCGAAAAAGGAAACAGAAGAAGAAGAGGTGTCATTGTCACTATCTGATCTCTATGTGATTTTTTTCTGGTCAGAATTCATTCATGGCATATAACCAAAGCCAATTGCCACTCCCCAAAAACGATTCCTTCATCATAGGTTTAGGTTCAACTAAATGTGCAACATTTGACTGTTTGGTTTTTAGCTTGGTATAGTCCAGAACCTACGATTTTATAAAATTGTCATCACGTACATCTAACGATTATACCGCCGTCCTATCTGGTTATACCATATGTACGTAAGATTCTTCAATTACAGATGAGCAAAACAGGGTTGCAATGAGCGAGTGTTGTAACACTGTTCTTTTGTGCGCTCGTTTGTAAGTTGAACTTCGTATAGACCAGAATGCTAAACATGGTACGAGATGAATGAGCTTAACGAGCTCATGCCGTGTCAGCCTAAATACGACCCATCGCCCAAGTACAACCACCTCACTATCCACCAAAAGTATTAAATACGGGTGTACAATAGTTTAGTCCGCACCGGATCAAATCAGCATCGTAAACGAACCATACCAGATCAAATATAGTGTGGCTCGATCCTTCCACCAATCAACCTTATAAAATAACCAAATCAAATTTAATATTTGGACTCAACCCAAGATGGAATTTAATATTTGTTCATAAAATTTTATAGGTTCTTAATTTTTCACTTTACCCAAGTAACTATAACAATTAAAAACCCTATTTAGCTTTGCAAGTGTTTGCTTTTTCTTTCTGATTAATTCCTTTTAATTTTTTTAATATATTTTCTCTAGCCCTTTCTTTCACTTTGTCTCTCACTCTGTCCATCTCCAAAACGCCTCCCCTTTGCCTTTTCTCCCCTCCCTGTCGCAACGAACCCTGAATCTGGCGTAAGCAGCAGACTCTCTCACACGCTCGCATCGCCGCCGCCGCCGCGCATTGGGCCGCCGTCAACAATTCGCGGGTCGCTAAAAAGGGTTCCCCTTTTTGTGTCTCCAATCAGACTATGGCGTCCGAGGATGTGAAGACTAGTGGGGAAGCTGCTGTTTCGACGATCGTGAATCTAGCTGAGGAGGCTAAGCTAGCTCGTGAAGGCGTTAAGACGCAAAGCCCCGCTTTCCTCAGTATCTGCAAGTCCCTCGTCGCCGGTGGAGTTGCCGGAGGAGTGTGAGTCCCTTTTCCCTGTTCCTGGCGGCTGCTCTGTGTGTCATGGGAGAAATCTCTGTTGGGTTTCGCCTGGAATCATCGATCTTGCTGTTATTATCATCGAATCCCTTGTTCTTAGCTCATGTTTATCGATTTTGTATAGCATCTGGTTCGTCCCACCGATCTTTCGTCGTGAATTATTTGTAGCTGTTGTAGTACCGCCTAGTTTCTGGGTTTAACTTATAGCTAGCTTCTCTGCTTTTGAGTCAGATTGATTTTTCCCCTTTCCTTCGGCTAAGTGGCGATTGAATCAGGATGGAGCTCTGTGAAATTGCTTTCAATGCTCACTAGCTAGTGGTCCTTTTGGTTTTATGGTTGGCTTGCGAGGGTTTATCTGGTTGGTATTCACTGTAGACTGACCCGGGGTTGTGAAGAATCACGAATTGAGGTGCTGTTACGCTTTTAGATTTGGGGTTTGGTCCAACTGATGTGTGAATGAACTTGGTTGTGATGAAATCTTGGGTAACGAAGTCTTCATTTCAGTGATCTTAAACCCTACTTGGTGCTGGTGGTGCAGAATAGATTTTCAGTCTGGTTGATCGTTAAATCGTCCGTAATTCGTTGGAGAATGGTGGTAGATGTAATCATCTACTTTCAGCACTTGCAAAGTTTCTTTCTTTCCTTCTATATTGCTTCAGAGTAAAGCAATTATCCCTTTCTGTTGGCTGCATACATCATGGGTATGGTTATCCATCACCCTTGAGAGAAGTTGTATAACTTAAATGTTGTTATCATGTATGTGTTGCAGGTCCCGCACAGCTGTTGCTCCACTAGAAAGACTAAAAATTCTACTCCAGGTATAAATTTCATGTTATCGTTCCGGGATTAATCTTTAGCTCGGTGGTAAATGTTGATTGAAAGCTGGTGGATATGTCTGATTTTAGTCATGCAGTTCTGCTTCGGGATTATGAACTCTGTGCTTAACACGATAAAGGTTTTGATATATGGTATATATGCAGGTCCAAAATCCACACAGCATAAAATACAATGGTACAATTCAGGGCTTGAAGTACATTTGGAGGACGGAGGGTTTCAGAGGGCTGTTCAAAGGAAATGGCACAAATTGTGCTCGCATTGTGCCAAATTCAGCCGTCAAGTTCTTTAGTTACGAGGAAGCCTCAAAGTGCGTTCCTCTGCTTCCTTGGTCTTTTTGATTTGTTGTTTTCTTGACTGGTTTAGCTGGTTGGCTGCCATAAAAATACATCCTACAGGTTCCTGTTTTCCTTACCTCAAGTTTGCTATAAATATGCCTTACAAAGCATCTTATGTCTTCCTCTTGTGTGATGAACAGGGGTATTTTATGGTTGTACAGGCGCCAAACTGGGAACGGTACAATATTCATTGCTATCTCGTTCATGTTTCAATCTTTCATGGATAATGTGATGTTTTGCTGAAGTCAAATCTTGTCATACAGATGACGCACAGCTTACTCCTGTTTTACGTCTCGGTGCTGGTGCATGTGCTGGTATAATCGCCATGTCTGCAACTTATCCAATGGACTTGGTTAGAGGTCGCCTAACTGTCCAGGTAAGAGTTCATGACTTGTCTACCAGAGAATATTTTTTTTTTGTCTCACCTCATCCTTTCTGTTGCTTCAAACGTTGTTCATTCAATTGCTGTTCTCTTTTTCCAGACAGATAAGTCTCCTAGTCAGTACAGAGGCATCGCCCATGCCCTTAAAACTGTTCTAAAGGAAGAAGGCCCCCGTGCGCTATACAAAGGTTGGCTTCCATCGGTCATAGGAGTTGTAAGTCTACCGTTGCTTTCCTCATCAGTTTTTTACATTATTTCAAGGGCCACTGTTACCAAACTCATAACAACGACGCAGCATTACTGTTTGATCAAGTGCTATTCTGAATTTGTGATGTGTAAACTTCCATATTCGTCGGGTGTATTTTCGTTATAATTATGCTGAACTAGATACAAGATACTAAAACATTCCAGATGTATTTGATAGAGAAATTAGTTAGCAGATAACAAAAGACACCTACAGGGATCAAATTAATCGAATCAAACTGTAGTTAAGGAATTTAACAATTGAATCAAACTTATCCATTATCATATTGAACTACTGAGTGCTGTGGGGATCCACTCCCTATTTCAGAACCTTCATGAACTATGTTTTCCTCGCTTTCTCATATTGTTAGGTACCATATGTGGGTCTCAACTTTGCGGTGTATGAATCTCTGAAAGACTGGTTGCTGAAATCCAATACATTCAACCTGGTTGAAAACAACGAACTGAGCGTAACAACGAGGCTAGCATGTGGAGCTGCTGCTGGAACTGTTGGCCAGACAGTAGCTTACCCACTCGATGTCATTCGACGGAGAATGCAAATGGTAGGGTGGAAGGATGCTGCTTCGATTGTCACTGGGGATGGAAGGGGCAAGGCACCACTTGAATACACCGGTATGGTCGACGCCTTCAGGAAAACTGTTCGCTACGAGGGGTTCGGTGCCTTGTACAAGGGATTGGTCCCTAATTCAGTAAAGGTCAGTCAATATACTCAATTTCCTTGATCGAATCTGAGTCGCTTTTACTTGCTTTAACCATGGTTCAGTTCTGTAACGTACAAACATTATCTGCAATGTTCTCGTTCAGGTGGTCCCATCCATAGCCATTGCGTTTGTGACTTACGAGATGGTGAAGGATGTTCTTGGGGTCGAGATGAGGATTTCCGACTGAACACAGTAGAAGAGGTGGACAAGGTAGACTTCTCGTTATCCAGCGGAGAGCGTATTCGGAGGAGAAGGGTGGATCGGCTGTCCGTGATGAATGAACCTGATTTTTGGTGATAGTGGAGTGAGTCAGATTAGTAGAGAAGGAACACAACTTGTAGCGCTGTGTTTTTAATAACCCCGTCCGTCGCCTGCTCTGTGATCTCCACCTGAACCCATATTTGTCTCTCTAGATTTCTTATAACTTGGCTTTGGCAATAAGGTACGACGGAAAATTTTAGGCTCCATCTACGTAGGGCGAAATTTTACTAGTGAATTCAGTGAGTCGGATGATGTGATGTTTTACAGAAAGCTTTCTGCTGAACATCTTTCGATACGATTATCGAGTGATATTCCGCTGTTTTAATATGATTTGCAAGCAAGCAATCGACCCACTTTGATTATGTACTGATCATATTGTGTTCCAGAAACAAACCCTATAGGCAAAACCTTTTGTTCAAGATCGACACTGCCATTTCAGAGGCCCAAAAAAAAAAAATGAACGTCTCAGATTGTGCAGCATATGAACAAAAGAACTCTGAAGAATCTGTACTCTGATTGGTGATGATTGATGCAGAGACACACTAAGGTGCAGTCACCCTGTGGCGTCTGATTGAATCGGATTGCGGTGAGTATGAACAAAAGAACTGAGAAGAATCTGTACTCAGATTGGTGACGATTGATGCAGAGACGCACTAAGGTGCAGGCGCCCTCTAGCGTCTGATTGGCATCTTGGAGAGAATGCCAGCGAGATAGTCACATGTGCTGCGGTAGTACTCAATCGAGATGCAGAGCTGTCGTATGGCTTCTCGTTTCTTGTCTCCCAAGTATGATATCCAGTCATCTTTCTCCTTCAAGCTCGCTCCCATGGCTGCCACCTTACTCTCCAGTTGGCTGATGGCTTTGGTGAGATTCAGCTTCTCAGCTTCCTCTTTGCTCGCCATGTCCAGCAACTCCGACACCTTGTTCTTCAGTGCAGATTCCTCTTCTCTCGAGTGTTGCAGTTGTAGAGCTAAGCTGTTCACTTGTTCGTTCAACTTTTGCTTCTCTTGATTCATGTTCATTACTCTCTCGTTCAGCTCCTGCTCTGTGACCCGGCTCTTCTGGCTCGACATTGTAAGCTGGAATTCAATCTCTTTGTTCTTCACAGATAAACTGCGCAGCTCTTCATCTTTGAATTCGAGTTGTCTCTCCTGGCTCTCGATTTTCTCTCTCAGTTCAGCTACAGCTTCATCCATGGAACGCACTTGCTTGTTCAGATCCTCCGCCTTCTTTTCAACTTGCTGATGTTGCTCGTTGAGTTGCTTGCACATCTCGGCCTGTTCATCCAGCAACCTCTGCAGATCAGTAACTTGAGTCAGTAGCACCGCCTTCTCATTTTCCATCTCTGCAATTCTCCTTGAAAACTCATTCCGATCTCTCGCGTTATCCTCCGTGAGATATGATAGCTCTTTTTGCTTCTCTTCTACTTTCTCCTGTAGTTGGCTTGATTCGGCAGTGAGTTCATCTATGATCGTCTGAATTTTTTCATATTGAGCCACAGTTTCAGAAAAATGGGAGGTTAGAGCAACCTTCTCTTCCTCGGCGACACTGAGTTTCTTGGCCAAATCTGAACCCTTTTGCTTGGCAGATACTAATTGCTTCTTCGTGTCAGCAAGTTCATCTCTAATGTCTTCTATTTCACTGTTAAGGGCGGAATTCTCACCTTGGTACTCGAATATCGACTTTCTTAAAATCCCAGCAGTTTCCGTTTCGTCCAGGATTCTCTGCACTGCAGTCTCCTTCCATGAAATTAGGCTATCTTTCTCTGTTTGCACCTCTTCCAACTTCTGGTTTAATACAGAAATCTCGGCCACCAGAGAATTCCTCTCCTCTTCTGCGCACTTCGAATCCTGGGTCAAATTGGACGCCAACAGCTCTGAAGATTTCAGTTGCTCACGTACACTGGAGATTTCGGCCCTGAGACTTTCAAGTTCCTGGGAAAGAACTAGTTTATCATCCTCCAGCCTATGACTCGCCATTTTCAATTCTTCTTTGATCTTCTCTTCTTCTTGAATCCTCCCCAGAAGCGCCTCTTTCTCCACGATCAAGCCATCTTTCTCAATGGCTATGCCCTGTAATCTTCGAGTCAGCTCTGCTTCAGCCTTGCCTGCATCGTCGAGGTTTTGCTTCAGTTCCCCTTCCTCTGCGAGAATCTTCTCCTTGTCGGCATTAACAGTTTCTAATTCAAGCTTCAGGCTTCGGACGATCTCTTCAGTTTCCTGCAACTTGCTCAACGCTGTTTGATGCTCAAGAAACAACACGTCTTTTTCTACGGTTGCAGCAGTGCACTTATCCTTCAGTTGGGCCAGTTCAAGATTGGCGGTTTCAAGTTCTTGCTTTGTGCCGTCTGTTAATTTGCCACCTTTAAGTCGTCCATTTTTGCTGGTTTGGTCCTTGGAACCGTCATCAGAATCCGAGTCTGAGCTAAATGAAGAAGAGGAATCTGATACCCACTTGCCTTGGAAGTCTCTCCTCAGTTCTCCCTTCAGATGGTCGTACTGTGAATACAGCGATTCATACTGTTTTCGGAACTTCTCGATCAAATCCACAATAGGCTTTCTTTTCGAACCTTCTATAGGAACTCCACCGTTTTCTTCAGAACCTTCGTTGATGAGCTCCAAGATCCTTTTGAGACTATATTCGAATTCTGCAGGATCAGGAAAGTTTATTTAGCATCACATTGGAATAACGAGTTTATGAATCAATGCATAAGAAGTCAATTAACAAGAAGGCAGAGTTTCAAAAGTAACTGCTTATCGGAGTTTGAAGGAATGAAATAAGAAGACGAACCTTCTTTATTGCCTTTCAGCTGCTCATCTTTCTCTTGATCGATGTGTCTCCGGACAAAGGATTCGAAAGACTTCTTCCAATCATGATTCGTCATTTGCTCTCCTCGGGGTTTCAGTCAGCTTTCTTCGACGAAATGCATCAATGAAGATTCAATCTGCTTCCAGGATTCTAATATACAATATCAAGGTATTAGTAATATGAGGGGGGTAAGTTATGAAATATGAGAGAATTTTAAGAAACGATAGGCAAAATGAAAATGTAAGCCAGGAATCGAAATTCAACGTGAACGAGCTAAGCCACGACGGGAGACAATTGTACAGCTCCAGCCATGTACAAGATCAATAGAAGCCACCTCTGCAGACAGATGATTTATATACAGTGTAACCTACCAGAAGCTGGAACTCAGATTTAAATCAAGATACAGTTACAAAGCTAATCCTTGCTTTCGTCTCCGTGACCGTGGAAGGTTACAAAACCTTACAGAAGGCTCAAAGTTCAGAAATTGCAAAGCTCAACCTCAAATGTAATTCCTAATCAAAGCCCTTATTTCCGTCGGTGTAGTTAGTGACAACACGATTCATATAATAGAAACTGTAACTTAAAGCAAGCCTGCTTGAATTTCCTATGATGATCCTTAGGAAATATGAAAATTCGCTCTCAACTGGCAAATCCGGCAGGCAAAATTCAACTGGCTTATTGGCTTTTTTCCATGAGAGTTATCATAATCTGAAACAGCTGGAATTGATAGCACAGTAAGAAATGGCAGACCCCTTTTTTCTTCTTTGAACAGTACGCAAAAGGACTGTTACTTCTCAAAAGAAAACGGAAGGCCTAGCGAAATGTGATCTGTCCCTAATGGAAGCTCAAATTCTGTAAGCCATTATGAAAAGAAAGAAAATATTCAAGACTTGGACATGCCATTTGCCACACGGTCCATTGGTTTAAAAGGCAGGAAGCAAACAAAAACGGGAACATTGACCCACATGAATCATGATCCACCCACCATTCCAATGACAAATCCTCTTCGGTCCTCAATCAGAGCATAAAATAATAACAAGGAAAAAGAATGATGATAAATAATAAAAAAATTAGGGGTTAATCACTCAATTATTATTTAATAAACAAATATGATCATCACGCAAGCCAGGACAATTTCAACCTGATTACATGTAAGCGTCAACGTGCAATCAGATCTGGCGGCACCTCATTAACAAACACTGAAGAAGTCTCGCAGAAACCAAAATCTATTTTAAGCGGAGAAAAGGACAGCCATTGTAGTCAAAATTGAGCAGTTCCGTTTATGTCAACACTTAATTATCGGCGGAGATAAGACAATTTAAGCAGCTAAAAGGTTGACTAATGCGAATCTATAGAAACAAAAAGAAAATATCAAATTATTAAAGAAAGATGACTACAAATTTTCTTGCGGGCTTCGGCAGTAGAACGCAGTGAATTTATGAAATTTACCTAGGAAAATCGGTCTTTCCTATCGCCGTCGTCTTCCAAACTGAGCTGGAATCAAATCGATCAGAATCTGCAAAAACACCAGAATGAATAAGTAACTCTTAATTGCTTCGATTGAAATGCCGCCGGAAGTAATTACTAAACAACGAAGAATTTATTAGAAGAGGATCGACGAAAGCTACTGATAGCGATCAACACATCCACCGCAGAAAGAAGAAAAGACCGAGAAGTCGAGTTCCGATCACTAATTAGATTACTGTAATCGCTACTCGAAACTTCGTCTCTCTAAGCGTGGGGGAAAAATCAAGTCGAGGCAGAGAGAAGAATCAAGAACAGTCAATTTTCCAAACCGAGAAGACTGATTCCGGTTTCCTCATCGGACTCCGATAGCCTCTAGACCAGACTCCGATCATACATAAAGAACAGTCAAATTTCCAGCATTAGCTAGCAGAGTCGATCAAAGGAATCGCAATCGGCAAGCGGAAACCCGGAGGCAAGAAATCGCGGCGGCGAGTGAAACGAACTCGAATAGTCACACAGCGCATTAACCGAAGGAATCGAAATTCTTCAATTGCGAACTCGGAAATCGGATAACCATCGCAAGATTTGGACGGAAGTGCAGAATCTCACCTCGAATTTGGCGAGCGCACAAGAGAAGAGAAGCTGTAGGCGACGGGGGATTGAAGCGGAACCGTCCTTCCACGGCGAAGCTCTTTCAGAGAAGACGAACAGTAGTACGGAGTGAGACGAGAATGTATGAGGCGAGATTCGGGATTCAGAAGAAAGGAAAAGAGATGGAAAAGAAAGGAAAAGTCGATTTGCTCCGGTCTTGTTTGGATTGAGAAAAAACTAGAGAGAGAATTTCTGCCGATCACTCTCTCTCCCTCTATTCCATTCTATTTTGGTCAGAGCGAGCGGTAATTAGAAGCAGAAGGAGGGGAAAGGTGGAGGAATCTTTCTGGAACGGACAAATAAGCCCCCAAGAAAACAGAATATTACAGAAAATGCCACCGCGCTAGGCGCGTTCATTCCTCTGCGGGAGTTGGGCAGTTAGTGGTTCCCGCGCTCGCTTGTATGGAGTTTTACAATTTTACCCTTCAGAGTTTTTTTTATTTACTATAAAGCTAAAAATTGTACGTGTGTATCATGAAGAATGCATCAAATTTCAATTATATTCTTCAAATGTATCATAAACTTTTGTGCACCCGCTCATATGGGCATACAAGGGATGAAAATACAATATAAGTTCAATTAAAATTGCACATCTACTTGGGTGTAATTGTTGGTTTTGGACTTGTTGTGGATATGGATCGCTTAAGCTGAGTATATCGATTTCGATGGTAATCTGTCAGCATACAAAGTTGTCTTATGGCTTCCTTCTTCTCTTCTGCGAAGTTCGTTATGGCCTCTTCTTTCTCTCTCAACTCTTGCTCCAATGCTCTCACTTTACTCTCCAATGCATCGATCTCCTTCTCTTCTTCACTTGCTAATGTCATCGCCATGGTCAGCCTTGCTTCTAGTTCTAGCACTTTTCCTTCTTTGTCACTCAGTTGTAGTGTCAAATCGTCCATATTATCTTTCAACTGTTTGATCTCCCCTTTCTTTCCAGCCATCCAATTTCGAGCGAGTTGAAGTTCATCTGATATCCTGGACATCTTGTTTAATGGATGTTTGCTCTCATCTAACTTCCTAATCAGCACATCCAATCCTGTTAGCAAGCTTCCCCCGGGTTCAATTAATGTCCCTTTCATTTTTCTCAATGCGTCTTGAAATGCCACTACTTTATCTTGAAGCTCTTTGTTTTCATTCTGAAGCTCTTCTTTTATTTGCTTGTAACTATCCTTTGTTTCGTTGTGGATTTGTTCTGCAACTTTGACTCTCTGACGTAGTAAACGAATATGGTTCTCCATGCTCATTTGGTATTGCTCTGCTAGTTCTTCAACCTTCCTCTCTATTGTTTGGGTAATCAACTTAGCGGACTCAACTGGCTTCACCTTGGGAGACTCCATAGAAAGATGTCTAATTGGTTTAAGTGTAGGCTCTTCGTTGATCTTCTTGAGTACATCCTCGCGTTCTTTTAGGATTCTTTCTTTCTGAACCTCCAAATGAGATTTTTCCGATAATGAAGTTTCTAGCTCTTGCTGCACGCTAGTTATTTGTTCCTTCAAATTTGCAATCTCCATTGAAGCCTCATTGTCCATGTCATTGATTTTATTTTGAAGCACCCCAATATCGCCTTCTTTAGTTGATATCACTTGTTCTAGTTCATGAATTGTAGCATTCATCTTATCATTAGACTCCCTTAATTGTGTTGATTCTTGTGTTTGTTTTCTCATATCCTCTTCCAACTTGCTTTTCTCATTTCGTAATGCTTGTAGCTCTAACCCTTGTTTCTTGCTTAGATAGTCCATCTTCCGTAGCTCCTCCTCAACCGTAGACTTTGCTGTTAATTCATCTCTTAACGTCTGCATTTGAATCGAACTATCAGTAAGTTCTTTGGACTTTGCATCCAGTTGAAGTTCCAACTCAACCTTTTGATGGCCAGCTAGATCCAATTCCTGCTGTATTACATTCAAATGGTTTTGCATTTCATGCATTTGACGTGATTCATCCGCTTTCTTTTCCAAAATTTCTTCAAGCTCTGAAACACGAGTATTGAGTTTTGTGTTCTTTTCCCCAAATTGTGCTACTTCAATAGCTTTCTCCTCTAGTTTTGCCTCAAGATCTTTCTTTATGTTATGTAGTGATGCCAACTCCATCTGTAAGCTACTCACCTCTGATGTCAATACCCCAATCCTAAAAGAAAATGTTTCTTCACTATCCTTCATATGTTGCAATGTCAAAGGAGCTTCCTCGTCATCTATTTTTGTGGTGGGGTATTGTTGTGATTCAAGCTCTACGACACGTGCTTGCAATTCTTGATTCCTCTTTTCAACCTCACTTGCTTTCTCTGCAAGCAACCTTTCCATCTCTCGTTTCCCTTTCCTTAATGTCTCCATCTCGAACTTATTTGCAATCAATTGTCCCTCCAACTCCTTCACTTGAGCACCTCCTCCCTCCCCGTCATGATTGTCTTGAACTTTTACTAAATTCGGGGGTTCCTCGGTATGTTGTTCCGCGCTCTCGCTGTCATCCAAATGTTCCTGATCATCGCTCTGTTCTCCAGTTCTGCTCATATTCGTGGCTTTCGTTGCTCTCCTTTCCCTCGGTGCCTCCACAGGAGAGTAATACTCGGAATCTGAAGCTGATGTAGATCCAGAGCCTGCCCTTTTCTTTCTTACACGAGCCTTCTTCGCGGTGACACCTCGAAGATTGGCGTACTTTGAGTAGAGTGATTGGTATTGCTTGTGTACATCCTCAACTAACGTGACGAGTTCTGATTTCTTCTTTGAGTCGTCTGGAGGCGGGAGCTTTCCTTTCTTATCCGGACCGTTGTTCCTTATAAGCTTCAGGATCTGTCCTATTTTGTGCTCAATCTCTGAAATATGTTACAATAGAAGCATGTAAAGTACTTGTGACAAACAATCCAATTACCACTACCACCAGAGATGAAGACGTTCATGGGCGCACATTATTTTGCACCTTTTTTACTATCTTTTGTCAGTTGACCTTTGTCTGACTCCATGGCAAGCTCCATTACTTCCCTAGTGTCACCCGCAACAGAGAAATCAAATCTACACAAAGAAGAAGAAGATATCAGAGAAGCAAACATGAACTGATTTTGCCTTTTGAGATGAAAACCAGTTGATGATATGCAGAAAGCACAATAAAAAATCTTGCCTTTTGGGATGAAAACCAAGACAATTATTGTATAATATAAAATACAAAAATGATAAGTACAAAAAGGGGGAGAAATTCAACAACATGAAGACAAATATTAGAAAATAACACAACTAAATTTTGGTAGAGAATAGTAATTTCTGGTGATGCAATTAGAAGCACAAATAAAATATATATTATTTTACGTGAAAAAGAAAACAAAGAACAAAACAAGAATATGTGGATTATTCAAATTAATCGTCTCATTCTTATCATCGTTTTAACACTCCACCACTAAATTAATTATAATTTGTTGGTTGGTGTTCAAATTCTGATTTAGCAAATTCTAGACGACATAGAAAACAATGCTATGTATATTTTGTGTTCATGCATAGAGATTGATTACCAAGATTCCTTGATCAAAGCAACCAAATCTCTGTAGATGGAGTATCAATCTGAAAGCCACATGACTGCATGAGGAACTCATACAAACAAAACCTGATTATAAGCTTATATGAATGTCCTATTGCAAATAAGCGTCACGTTCTTTTTATGAATTTCATTCTTTTCAATTTTTCGAGAAACAAATAAACGAATATAACAAAGCAAACAATTGTTTTCATCGATGATAAACAGAAGAACAAAACGAGACGGTACATAAGAACAAAGAGAGAGTCAATTACCTGCGGGAGGAATTCCAGAAAGCTTGCTGCAGCTTCTTGACGGGGAGACCAAGATTGAAATGATTTTGATTGGAAAAATGATTTTGATTTTTGACAACAGGTAATGGTTAATAGTGGAAATTAAAGGCAGCCTGTCATTCTTCTCTGCTCTTTTAAAAGGGGATTTAGTTTTTTTGGTGAAATTTTAGGAAAACAAATGCAAACGAAAAGCTGATTATTTATTTATAAAAATATACATAAATCAAATATTTTTTCTCGTCTGGTTGCCTGGTTGGGCGTTGCCACAAACAAGCCCACAACGTGGGCTCCGTTAGGAGAGCTGTGGGCTTCAGTTCAATTGGTCCTGGGCTTTCGGCTCTGAGTAGGCTAGGCCCACGAAGGCTGGGGAGCTTCATAATGGATGGTGTAAGAAAAAAAAAAAAGATTAAATTCGCTAGAAGGAGGGTTTGAACCTCCGACCTTGTGGTTAACAGCCACACGCTCTAGCCAACTGAGCTATTCCAGCTAGTTCAAATTTGTTTTCGTTTCATAATTATATATATATTTTTTGTTGTTGACATTTGATCACAATTAAGAACCGCATCGACATGATTATTGATTAATCCCCAAATGCGGCAAAACAATTTTTTTGCCCGCTTAAACACCTTTCGTAAAGCATGCTACAACGACTAATGAACTCTGTTTCTATAGAGGACAAAAAGAATCTCTAATTCACTTCCGTCGCTTCCGGTGCGCGCGCCCTAACTCTGTAAGCAAGGGAATTCCCGGCGAAGGAATGGGATACGAACCGGCGAAAGTCGATTCCGGTGGCAGAGTCGACAATCGGAGCACAAAGGAGTTGGTAATGTCTCTGAAGTCGGAGTTCCAGACGTCGAGTTTCGAGTTTGTGGCGTCCATCTTGGCCTCTAGAGAAGAGAAGCTGAAGCGGGAGATTGCGACCAAGGCGGAGGAGAATCAAGGACTCTGGCTGGAGAATGAGCAGTCCAGGTTGTTCATTATGAAATTGGAGGAAGAACGGGAAAGCTGGAAAACGGAAGCTGAAAAGACGAAGAGAGAGATTCACGGGCTCCGGCTGGAGAGAAAGCAGGCCAGGTTGGAGAAGATGAAATTGGAGGAAGAACTGAAAAGCTGCAGAATGGAAGCTGAAAAAGCCAAGGGTTTCGAGGATCGTGTCAATAGGCTTGGGGAGGAAATGAAGAAGTTGCAAGCCGTACGGCTTGCTGGATCTGAAGACGTCGGGAGAAGGGGAGTCCAAGAACCGCCGGAGAATCGCGGAGAGATTGTTCGTTTGACAACGGAGGGAAACGGGATTTCCAGTGCTTCAGGTTGTTTTGAGTTCAATTTTGTGCTTCTTTTCATGGATTGTTGATTTCCTATAGCTTCTTTTTGAATCTGATGTTGTTGGGTTTGTGTTTCTTGGAGGGGCAGGATTGAAGAAGGTTGATGGCAACAAGCAATTGAACATGGAAATGAATGTGAAGAAGGAGAAGGAAGATTTGGCGAGTGGAGGAGGGATTGAGGTCTGTAAGAGGGTAGAACTTGGCATGGAGTTGAATGTGAAGGAGAATGAAGGAGGTGACAAGATTGGATTGAACAGAAGTGTCGATCTGAAATCCCATCAAGCTGATAGTAGCTCTGGTAATCACGGTGAGGGTTTCAAGTTTATTGTATGCTTTTACATCATTAGTGAGTCACTTAACAGTGAAATTATTAGCAGTTAGTTGGAGATTTGGTTTGCCATAACCATAAGGGTTCCGTGGCAGTCAATAAGGGAAGTTTCCTTGCCTGCATTCTTCTTGATAGTGCATGAGAAGGAGACCTAAAACCACACTAAAAAAAAACCATGTTTAGGGTTAAGGATATCTGAATGAGTTCTGCCCTAAAGGGGGGTTGAGTACTTGCATTGTTTTCCACGAATTTCCAAAGCTGAATCGATACCGTTTAGGTTCCATTTTACTGCATCCTTTTACTTGCAAATGAGGCTTTGGATTTCACCATTTTCTTGGATATTAGAACTTTCTTGGATATTAGAACTGACTTCACTTTTTTCTGTAAGAGCCTTTAGATTGATTGGAGTTTATTTGATTTCTCAGGATGTTCCCTGAGTTTATGCGTTTTCTTCCGTGACAAGGACGTGGGTTGATTTATTATTCTTATGTGGGCAATGCTAGATCACTCCTCAGTGGTGACATCAAAGAAATCTCTGTTGCCAAGTGCTGAATGAGAGAGAGAGAGAGAGAGAGAGAGCTGTTAGCAGTTTTCTGACTTGCAGAGAGAATATAAAATATCCCATATTTGAATGCTGAAACCTCCATGTTTTCAAACTGCAGGAAACGCAAGACCAGCACCACCAGGAGGCAATTTTGTTGAGATCAGTGATAGTGATGATGAACCTACTCCTTCAAAGGCTCCAAATGAAACAACTTCTAAGCAGCCACCTGCGGGAGCTGGTCACTCAGGAAAAACAGCTGCTGAAGATGGGACCGGGGTGCTGAAGAGGAAGTGCTCCAGCTTCGGTGCAAGTGATCACTCTGATCAGCATCCCAAAAAGCTGACAAAACACCACGGCATGATTCATATTAGTAGAACTGTTGCGGCACCTACTCCTTCAAAGGCTCCAAAGGAAACAACTTCTAAGCAGCCACCTTCGGGAGCTGGTCACTCAGGAAAAACAGCTGCTGAAGATGGGACCGGGGTGCTGAAGAGGAAGTGCTCCAGCTTCGGTGCAAGTGATCACTCTGATCAGCTTCCCGAAAAGCTGAAAAAACACCACGACATGATTCATATTAGAAGAACTGTTGCGTCACCAGCAAAGCTGGGACCAAAACAAGCATTAGCTGCCGTGCTCAGCTCCAGCTCCAGCTCTAGCTCCAGCGCCAGCTCTGACGATGATGTATTAGTAGAACTGTTGCAGGACCAGCAAAGCTGGGACCAAAACTAGCATTCGCCGCCGTGTCCCAACTCCAGCTCCTGCTCTGACGATGAGTTCGATCCGTCGACTGATATTGCCTACAAACCGAGTCTATGCTAACTGTTACAAGTAATCTCTTAACCCTTTCACATGTAGTATGCTTAGTCCAGGGCTTACTCTGTAGATATCTAACTGTCCCTGAAGTGAAGATTGGCCTTTTGCTGGCCACCCTCGACTCTCTGTAGGATACAGCAAAGTTTGAATGAAGTGGGTAGGATCAGAATTGGTCCAGGAACTAGGAATTGAGTTGGCCAAGCTGATAGTGTTATGGGGGCCCTTAATCTTTTTGTCTGGCTATTGTTTGCTCATTTTCTCTTGTGTGGTGTCAATGTGGTTCGCACATGAATGGGCCACATCCGCACAAGAGAATTGGAAATTGAATCTTCCACTGTGCAGATACGTGCAACTATCTGCAGTTCTCCATTTCCCACTTGCATTAGTTAAGAACTAATTGGTCCCAGTAGTAACTCGAGCTATTCGGAGATGTTCAATTACGAATTCGTATTAATATCGTAACATATCCATCCCGGTTTTCGGGGTCTAGGCTGGTTTCTTGATGCCAATTTTGGCAAAGCACAGTGAAGTATCCCAATTCCCAGGTGACGAGGTGACGTGGGAGGCGGATGGGCCAACGGTTTAGAGGAGGACGGCGTGTGGCCACGTGATGGGCGGGAAGGAGCATAGCAGCATGGGCATCTGATGCTTTCCCGCCAAGCCAGCCCGCCAGCCTTGCCTCTACGGTTTCGCCATGCGCCATTTGAACCTTTGCGCGTCTCCAACAGCTAGTTTCCGGCTTGGGTTTCGGCCCGACGACGTTCTAATAGATCAGACTGGATATTTCGATATTTATACTCGCTTCGTGAGTCGTGATAAGTCGGATTTGAGTAGGATATTTTATCATGAGATGTATTGAAGCCACCTTAGATCCAGAATAGTGCGCTCATACTCGTCACACCTAATAGATGAATTTTACGCGCGCGTCCTAAACAAATCGGATAAAATAAGTCAATCCGAAACTGCCATTGCTGATTTTTTTCCTGTATAAACATGTGACTGGTTAACCGTCAATTCTTGAATTTTCAAAGATGATTCTGTGGATCCAAAGGCAAACACACAGTGCCACGGAATTTGTTATAACGTCGAATTTAATTTACGGTGCTCAATAATTAATTACAGGAAAAGAAACATCAAATCATAAGGTCCAAAAATTCCCTGAAATGCCTAAACGACACGATTGTAAGAAGCGACGCAAGTAAACGTCTCAACGAAGCTACACAGCAGCAGCTCGAGAGAGAGAGAGAGAGAGAGAGAGAGAGAATTGATAACACTCGTTGTTGGCGTTGCTGCTGCAATCGATTTCCTCCATTTCCGTTTTGGGCGTAAGTTCCTCCAGAAACTCCCCCCTCCCACTTCTTTCCTCTTCACGAATTCTAGGGTTTTCTTCCTCGTCTTTCGGTTTCTCCTTCCGTGGATTCCGGGGACGAGACTGTCTCTCAACTCAACCGGCGCCTTTGCTCTGTTCCCGCTGTCTCCTGCTTCTTCTGCAACTCCGGGAAGAAAAAATGGTGATCGCTCGCTCAATTGCTTGCTCCCTGCTAGCTTCTCCGTGATTTTCCTCGTTCAGGTTTGCTGAACCTTCTTATCTGCGAAAAATTCGATGCTGCTTCCTGTTGCCTGAAACGTTGCCGTGGTAGCTTCCTTGAGGTGCTAATAAGCTTCCGCCGGCTGAATATTTGGTTTTAGTTTCCACGCATTTTTGGTTTCATTGAGGGGACACGGAGCAGGAGTAGAGGAGGTGGGGTGGCTGACTGGCTGTTGAATTAATGAATTCTCCTTTCTGTTTAGACTCTTGAGCTCCTTTTAACTCCTCTGGAGTAGAGGATTTAGAGACAATTGGCGAGGTGAACTGTTGGGTGAACGAGCAATTGGTTGGTAATGGACGGAGAGCTAGGGAATGAGTTGGCTCAAGGTGATTTGGTGGAGGAGGTGGTGCATTTCCGTGGTAAGGAGACTGAGTATTCCTTGAGACAGCCTGAAGCCTCCAATGTGGTGCTGGAGCAGTCCGAGGAGGCTGTTCTTGGGCACGGTGACTATTTAAATAGTTCGTTTGATGGGATTTCTGATATTTTGGAGGGCAGGACCTCCGGTGCAAACTTAGGCCCGGAGGATCCTTCTGAGCAGCCTCGTGCAAGGCCTCGATATATGGATGATGCAGGGAACATGGTGGAGGAGTTGATGGTGAAGAATTATGACGGTGGTTCTAATTTGGCTATAGTCGGCACATCAAACCACAGGGAGAAAATGGAGTCCAGGTGGAGTCAGTGGCAGCAGCCTTATCATCCTGGAGTAAGGTTGGGAAGCGGGAGTTCTCGCAGCAGTGTTTGGCGTAGCGGAGATAATCAGGCTGTGAGGCTGTGTGAGAGTGCTCCACAGAATGTATCCTCTTCTGAGTTTTTGGGTAAGGAAATTTCAAATGTTATCTCCAACGAGGCTGCCGGTCAATTGGCAGATGCTGAACACACAGAGGTTAGGGACATGGTTTCCCATGGTGGTATACGGACAAAGATTCTGTCAAAGTCGGGGTTTACTGATTTTTTTATAAAGAATACTTTGAAGGGTAAGGGGGTTGTTTACAGAGGTTCTCCGCAAAATGTAATGAGACCTGAGCCAGTAGAGCAGGACAATGGAAAGACTGCAACTGTTAACTTGACAACTAGTAGTGCTTCAACGAGTATGGGTGAGAAACCTGCAATGCCTTCACCTGTTGGTGTTGTCAGGCCAAGGAATAGCGGTAGTGATGATGAAGGAGTCAGTTTGAGGGAATGGCTAAACGTTGGACGCCATGGGGTAGATAAAGTTGAATGCTTTCATATCTTTAGGCAGATTGTGGATCTGGTTGATAGCTACCATTCTCAAGGAGTTGTCTTGTGTCAGTTAATGCCCTCTTGCTTCAAGTTGTTGCCATTAAAACTGGTAAGTTATCTGGGATCAGTTGACAAAAGAAGCGATCTAGGGAGTGGAATGGATCAAGATGTGCCTTGGTCCAGTAATCATGCAATTAAAAGGAGGCTAACAGATCATGGAATGTTTTCCTCTGCTATTTTGCATGTGAAGAAACAAAAGTTAAGCGAGACCATGAAGTCTGGTGATAGGTGGCCTCAGTTCAGCTCGAAATTTGGTGTCAAACTCAAAACTGAAGAAGTTGGCTTATCAAGCAAACATCAGTCCCTTTATGAGCCTAGTGGAGGCAATCCAAATGCAAGAGATGGATCTACGAGCAATCTTAGCTTCCCTTGGCTATCTAATGCAGTCCAAAAACAACCGTTAACAAGTGAAACTGACCCATTGGAAGCGAAGTGGTATGCGAGTCCTGAGGAGCTGAGTGAAGGAATATGCACACTGTCGTCAAATATTTATGCTTTGGGTATACTGCTGTTTGAGGTGCGCTATCTGCTCCTCATTTATCTAAAAACATCTGACCGGCCCTACTCTTAAATCGTGTGCCAACATTCACCTGTAAAAGTATCGCATTTCATTTCCCCCCATTTGCATGTGAATATCTCAGTTTCGGTGTCGTTGGTTCTGCAAACTGTGGATAATTTCCCTAGTAAGAATATGCAATTAGCAAGGCTTAGTTTCTTTCAAGATATCAATTTTTTGCATTAGAATCTTGATCACGATCTTACTTATGTGTTTCTGTAGTTGCTTAGTCGTTTTGACTCTGAAGGAGCGCGTGCTATGGCCATGTTGGACTTGTGTAACAGAATCCTTCCTCCTTATTTTCTGTCCGAGAATCTGAAGGAAGCTGCATTTTGTCTTCTGCTACTTCATCCTGAACCTTTCTCACGTCCAACAACCAGGTATTATTCTTTCATCAGCTGAAGGTCCAAAACATTGAATGTGTTTAAATTGTATAAGAAAACCTTCAAGATTGACTTTCACCTAGGCGATTGCAATTGAGAGTTAAGCTGACCCAAGATTGACTTCCATATGCCAAGTTATTAGGTCTTGACCCAATTGAATTTGACTCTTCTTCCGGCACTTGTACACTACTGTTGTTGATGCGCATGGGAAATTTAATGCTTGTCGAACACTTTCTTAGGTAATTAAATTGTGCTCTCTCGAGTCCCGACAGGCCTCAATGTTCATATGGCCTGTTTTTTACTCTTATGTCACGATGTGGAGGACAAGTAGAGTGTTAATAGGCCTCCCTGTCTATCTTCCACTGTGTTATCATTCTATCTCGACTCTACTCTATATGAGATCCATGCGTTTGCTTGATCTCTAAACCACGTTTGGCGGTCCCTTTAAGGTCATTTCTCATTATATGACAGGGAGATTCTTCAATCTGATGTGATTAATGGATTGCCTGAAGCGTCTGTGGAAGAATTGTCATCCTCGATTGAAAAAGATGATGCGGAATCGGAGCTCTTGTCATATTTTCTTGCATCACTGAGAGAGCATAAGCAGAGTAATGCCTCCAAGTTAGGGAACGACATTAGGTGCCTAGAAGCAGATATTAAGGAGATCGAGAAGCGGAATTGCTCAGAGAGATCAGCAACACCTGGTCGCTTAGACTTTGACATCCATAATGCAAAGGAACAGACTTCCCAGCAAAATGACAGTTTAAGTGCTGAAAGAGTCGCTCCAATGTTCTCAAATTCTGATACAAAGGAGATGAGGTTGATGAGAAATATCAGTCAGCTCGAGAGTGCTTATTTCTCCACGAGAGGCAAAGTCCAAGTTCCCGAGGCTCATGCTGCATTACGCCAAGACAAGAGTTTGTTGCGAAACCGTGAAAACTGGCAATCGGAAAAAGAAGCTGACGAAAAATATAACTCAGCTGATTGCCTTGGGGAATTCTTCGATGGTCTATGCAAATATGCTAGATATAGTAAGTTTCAAGTCCGTGGATCATTAAGAACTGGGGAGTTCAACAATTCTGCGAATGTGATATTCTCTTTAGGTTTTGACCGGGACATGGACTACTTCGCTGCTGCTGGAGCTTCCAAAAAAATAAAGATATATGAATTTAATTCTCTCTTCAATGATTCTGTTGATATTCATTATCCGGCTGTTGAAATGGCAAACAAATCAAGGCTTAGCTGCATCTGTTGGAACAGCTACATTAAGAATTATCTGGCTTCAACCGACTATGACGGTGTGGTGAAGGTATGTCTTCCCTTGCACATTTGAGTATTATTTCTAACCCCTCTGAGATGAGCTTCAGTTACCTTATCTCTCAATATGAAAGAATAAAACTACCTTACATGTTCATGCTATTTTATTATTTCTGCAGATAGTTTGGATGTGCAGGTCAAATTGCTATCATATTAAGCTCTACCTGTTTCTTTTTCTTTTTTCCTAAAAAGATGCAGTACATTAGCAAGGTTATAGAAAAAAAAAAGTTAATATCTGAATAAACTTATTTCTATATCTACCTTGATTATTCTGCATTTGTGAACATTGATAACATGCATAAAATTCTGCTCGGCGAGTTCTCTCTTCATATTATTCAAATTTCTACTATTTATTTGCTGATAAATGTTAACTTCTTGGTATGACATCATCCATGATTGGGTGGGACTTGGGAGACAGTTATGGGATGCAAGCACCGGTCAAGGGGTTTCTCAATATAATGAGCATCAAAGGAGGGCTTGGTCTGTTGACTTTTCTCCAGTATGTCCAACAAAATTGGCTACTGGAAGTGATGATTTTACAGTGAAATTATGGAGCATCAATGAGGCATGTTCTTCCTCTGATAGTCTTAAAGATGTTTTGCTACTGTGTTTTGTTTATTTAATTGATTGAAAGATCTATTGTCCGTAAACTTTAATATGGATCATGTGCACAATTTTTTATTTGTGAAGCTTGCATGCATGATCATGTGTATTGTTCATTCTTGTCTAGAAACATGGATTGAAGTTCATGGCATGGAGTTCTGATATTGTTTAGAAACATGGATTGAAGTTCATGGCATGGAGTTCTGCAACTCGAGATAGAAAGATAGGGTAAAATGTCTAAAATCAATTTGATGTTACTTTTACAGTACTTATTGGAGTTTAGACCCTAATATTTGATATTTTTATCTCAAAGAAGTTGGTATCATCACTCTTGTCTTGGACATGTGCAACATTATGGTTTATGATTCTGGCTTAAGTAGCATAGAGAGTGATGATGGTCCTGGTCCAGGAATATTTTTGTTGATGTTATCATGCTTGTACATTTTGCCAATAATTTACTGCTTGTTGCTGGATTAAGGGCTTATATGCAGTCAATGTTTCATGCAGAAAAATAGTTTAAGCACGATCAAGAATATCGCCAATGTCTGCTGTGTTCAGTTCTCCTCTCACTCCACTAATTTGCTGGCTTTTGGATCTGCGGATTTCAGAACCTACTGCTATGATATTCGAAATGTTAGAATGCCCTGGTGTATACTAAATGGCCACGAGAAAGCAGTGAGCTATGTAAAATTTGTGGATGCAGAGACTATTGTTACTGCATCAACTGACAACTCACTGAAGGTATGGGATCTGAAAAGGACCAATAGCAGTGGCCTATCCATGAACGCTTGCAACTTAACTCTTCGAGGGCATACAAACGAGAAGGTTGTTTCCTTTAAGCATATACTAGAACTTTCTGCTGGATAAGATTTTCGTTTCCCCCCATTTATGTGATTGCTCTTAATAGCTTATATCTTCTTTCCAGCTGGGTCTTGTTCTCACTTTTCCCTTCTTCGTGATTGCAGAATTTTGTTGGCCTGTCAGCTTCTGATGGTTACATCTCATGTGGTTCCGAAACAAACGAGGTATGATCTCAAATGTAGTGCCTTTGCTCATCTCTATGGGAAAGGGATGCTAAGTTATCTGCCGGGAATGTCTATTTTTGCAGGTTTATGCTTACCATCGATCTCTACCCATGCCGATGGCATCTCACAAGTTTGGTTCCTTGGATCCTATATCTGGGAAAGAGACAGATGATGACAATGGACAGTTTGTTTCTAGTGTCTGCTGGAGGGGGAACTCAGACATGGTCTTAGCCGCCAATTCGAGTGGCGGCATTAAAGTATTGCAAATGTCTTAAAAGTTATAGAGATATGGATGACTGCCAAAACTTTCTCCTCAACTGGCTTCCTTATGCTTCTTCAAGTTCAATATTCTCCTTTGGAGGCCCGATCGGCTTCTGGAAAACGGTCATAGACCATCTTCCTTTTCTGTATCTTCAGGCAAGTTCGAATCCCTCCAATGTCAACCGATCTTTGAATATATCACTATTGGGACACACAGATGATTGAAGGTGAAAGTTTCCGGCACCATGATGAACATAAGCACAGACATAGCTTGTATATACAGCAGTATTTGGGGGAAAACAAGTGAATCTGGTTGAAGATGAGAATCTATGAGTAATCTGCAGACCATTGGGGAGAGAGTTGGTTGCATACAGCCTCAGTACAGAATGCTGACTCCCTTTTTCTTTATGGTATCCATAATTTGGTACCAGAATTTCACTACTGAAATGAGCCTTGTATTGAGTTTGTACCTAAAAGAATATCACCACTGACATGAGCCTTGTATTTGAGTTTGATATTTTGCTTTGTTTTTCTAGTTTGTGTAAATGTCTCAAAGAAGAGTGCAAAATAATGTACACTGGTGACTGGACATGTCTTGTCCTGATAAAGAATGACAAGCAAGTTTTGGAACAATCTCTGTTGGCTTTAGATTTTGTTTTCCTCAACTTTTTTGCTCTTGATTTTAGCTTACTGAAATCCTGAAATGACAAGGAATCAAATCCAGGTAACACTGCTACAGGGAAAGTCAGGTAACACTTGCTGAGGCACTTCTATCGTGAAGAAATCAAATTACACTGCTACAGGGAAAGTCAGGTAACACTCACTGAGGCACTTCTATCTCCTTTCTGACAATATTTGATTGACTCATTCATATTCTTCCTACAGAAACAAAAACCAAGGAGAGGGATGGAAAAATGGTGAAGGTAACACTATTGATCAATCCTCTGCGCATTCATCATCTTTCTTCATAATACCCCTTTCCCTGGATTTTGTGAACTCATTGTTGTTCTCTTAGGACTGTCTTTTGCAGCATTCATCCTCAATTTCCGACCAGTTGGACTCCACGTCGCAGAAGATCTCACTGGCGATGACCTCACCGGAGTTTTCACTTTCGGTTTAACACCTGCATCAAACACTGTGCAACAAACATCAAAATACATCGCAGTTTCGGAATTCGATAAAACCAGGGAATGGATCCAGAAAGACACCCACCTGGAGCTTTCTTCACCTTAACATTGGCTGGTTTTCTTGCCACGGCAGCAGCAGCAGAAGCAGCAGGGACTGTTTCATTGTTCGGCGGCTCCGATATCACTGACCTCGCATCCGACGTGGTCATCTTCTCCGGATTCACAACACAAACGGACTTCGCATCAAAATTTACGATCTTCGGTTCATCCGCTGCTGGCAACACAATTGGATCCTCACCTGCTGCAAGGGTAAGAGGCTCTTCATTCCCTGCCTCAGTCGACTTGAACTTTACACCACATGACGACGTCATCTTCTCCCTCTCTGCCAGCCTGTAAGCGAACATCTGAAATGGAATCTGAGAAACCGAGCTTGAATCGCAGGTCGGTTCAGCAGGGAACTTCTTCAGAAACCCAGCTTCCAGTTCGGTGTAGTCGACAGGCGGCATCTGCATATCCGGCTGTCCATCACTAGGATTCATAACCAGGAACTTCTTCACGTATCGAAGAACCCTACAAATAGAGGAGAAGCTCGGCCTGCAGCTTGGATCTCTATGCCAGCACTTCTTTGTTAAGTTCACAAGGTATTTCGGTGTGTGAAATGGGAACAACGGTCTCTCCCCAGCTCGAATGTTCTTGATCATCTGATCACCATGGAGATGCCCGTCCTCGAATGGAAGCTTCCCTGTTAACAGGCCGAAACACAGCATTCCAAAGCTATAGACATCGGCCTTCTCCGTGTACTTGCTATTCAACCTTGAATTGTTCCCTGCTGCAGCAGCGGTAGCCTCTTGTTCCGCTAGCACCTCTGGCGCATACCAGATGGTTGGATCGATTGCATCTGAGGTCGCCGAAGCATGCCTCAGAGGTTGGCTTTCCACTCTCGCGAGTCCAAAGCCTGAAACTTTGACCATGAAATACCCCTCTGTGGCTTTCCTCGGCTTGAGAAATATGTTGGTGATGTTCAGATCTCCATGGTAGACCTTCTTCGAATGGAGGTACTCCATCCCTCTAGCAACCTGAAGCATGATATCCACAACAATGGGGAGAGGCAAAAGAACCCTTTTCCTCGGACTGCTGTTCTCCTTCATGTAAGAATGCAAATCCTTGCTCATCAACTCCATTACTAAAAAGCATTCCTTTTTATCCTCGTCGTAGAATCCACAGAAGTACTGGACTATGTTGGGATGAGCTAAGGACATTAGATCATATATCTCGGAGCTCAAAGGCTCAATCTCGTGCTGCAAATGTCTCATTGCAAATCCTTCCCCTAGCCATTGGATCTCCTTGTACTGGCTTCCTTCCCCTAGCCTTCTCCTCACTTTGTAATCTTCGGCTCCTAATAAGATCGAGCTCGGTGGGAGCTTTCCGTTAACTTTCTCGACGCTATTGAGCTTCTTCAGCAGCAGATCGGCAACACGATGCTCGTTCTTCGTAATCAAGCCGGAAGCTTTCTTCTCCTTCAGCTTCTCGATGAGATGCCACTTGTCTTCTCTCAGGGCAGCTTTGAACTGGCAGCATATCTCTTTTGGGATCAAGTACTGCCTCCCGAATCTCCACTGGAACAGCTTGGGGTCGTACCAGCTTCGGTCGTATTTTTTCGACAGCATCACTCTTTTCCTCTTCATGTCTGCCTCATCCAGTCCAGAGATCTCTCCCGCGCTCTCGATGGCCTCGACGACAGCATGGAAGCAGGTGAGCAGGTTGTGGACGTAGAACTCGACGGAGTCTTTGTTTTGGTGGAGGGAGAGGGATTTCCCCCACCAGTCCTTGTTGTTGTCCATACAATGGCGGATGTAGAGCTCTCCTTCTTTGAACACTCTGTGCAGCTCCCTCAGCGGCTCCTCCAATGGCTTCCACTTCGTGTTCTTCTCTTCCAGGGTCAGGTTGTGCCTGATCTCCTCGGCGATCGTGTCGAATGCCGAGGTGAACATCTGGTGCAGGAGAACGCACTGGCGCGGGTTGATTTGAATGTCGTCCTGGAGCACCATTAGTGCTTTCAAGCTTCCCAGGACTTCCCCTACGTGCCTGAACTGCTCCATTTCTTTGCTCGATGGGTGCTTCTTCGTCGATCTATCTCTCCGTCTGCCCTCTCTAAACGAAGAAGCAATGAGGTTTTGCTTCAAAGTTTAGAGAGATCTTTCTTTCAACAAGGATTCTCAAAAGAGCGTCACGACCTGGGCAATAGGAATATCAGGATTCAGGAAGAAGTTCATACAAGCATTTTTATAGCAAAAAACAGAGTGGGGGCAATCAATCTTCAGGGGATCAGAAGCGTTGGAAGAAGAACGCGATTCACAGAAGCCGTGAAGGAAAACGTAAAGCACAAGCTAATCAACAAGAACCTAGTTTTCCATGGTTGATCTTCTGCTAAAACGGGAAATTGGCAACATCCATACCTGAAGTCAAAAAGCTCTTGCTTCTTGATGAATCAGCACAGAGCAGCAGCCGCCATGAATGAAGGTGCCCACCCCTCTTCCTCTTCTTCTCTCTCTAATCCTCCTTCCCCTCTTTCAGTTTAATTACCTGATGATGATCAGAATGAATGAGAAGCAAGCCTCCTCCGACCTCTAACCACGGTGGAAAAAAAAAAACAAAAATGGAAGATAGATCGAGGAATAGGGAACCTGAGAAACAATCCAAAACAGAGGATATTGACGGAGAATTCAATGCTTCTCCTCTTCTTCTTTCGTCTTCTGACGTCAGAATTCTTACAAAAAAATAACAATCTGTTTTTTGTCCCGTCTGTTTTCTCCCTCTGCCAATGGTTATGGCGGAATTTCACCAACGGAATCACAGAATCTGAGATTGATCGCCGGAAAGTTTTCGAATTTTGAATTGGGTAGTTTGATTTCAGGTGCTTTTTGTTGATCTCAGGTGGGAATTCAGGGCGGCAGAGAGAGAATGAAGAGAGAGAGAGAGAGAGAGGCAGGAGGGACACCGAGGTCTATAGGACTTTTCCCTTTTCTTTTCTCTCTCTAAATTTCCCACGATTTCATTACTGAGGAAAAATATTCAGCGAGAGAGAGAGAGAGGGGGGGAAAGCCTTTCCCGCGGGTTTCGGTTTCATTTTGGCAGTTACGACGGACCTTTCGTCTTCTCCATTCCCCGGCAACTGTTTCTTCTCTGATGCGTGCCGGTGAACGGCGTCGTTTTGGAGAACGGTGGCGAACGTGGGGCCGTTATCACACGTCGTCATGGTGGTGGTTACTATTTGGACGTGACCCCGGTTAAAAGGGACGGCGGGACGGCCACGGTTGCTTTATTTTATTAGTTTATGTGGAGAACGACCGCTAGTAAGGATTTTTAAAAAATGGCCGGAGATAATTAGTTTATTGTTAATAACTTGAACATCAAGTTTCCTCTTTCGTAAATAACCAAATATCATTCATAAATAATAGGTAAAATTGTGTATTTTAGGCTGACAGGTAATAACATTATTGTTTTCGATTTTGAAGTCACTTATTGGAATTTCATGACTTGTTTTGCTAACTATTTTAACTTTGAGGTCACATATTTGAATTTCAGGGTTCGTTTTGCTAATCCTCTTTTCGTACCATGTTAATAGTACGTTGGAATTCTTTGGGGCCATAAATACTAAACTATAGAATCTATTTTTTACTTTTTAGACTTTAAGGTGTATCATTGCTCTAACATTCAATTAACTTAAGATACTGATATAAAGAGCAATTTCTTATTAAGACTACCTGATATTATGTTTCAACTTTGAAAGAACCGAAATCGAGGGGCAAAAAGAAAGAGACCGAAATTCATGTTTCAAACTTTGGAAGAATCAAAATCGAGGGGGCTTTCTCTTACTTTGATAAATCATAAATGTGATCACTACTTGTAGTATGTAGAAAAGGAAAAGGAAGAAATCAAAGAGGAAACCCCGCCATAAAGGGATAAAGAATCACAAGCGCATAATAGCACAGGCAAAAATACTAGTAAGTTGAACTAAATAAAGCCCAACAATTTTGGCTGAGGAGCCCAAATCGAAAACACAGGGCTCAGAGATAGAACATTGGTCTTTACCAGCCCAAGCCCATTTTAATTTTATCGACTTCCAAAAAAAAAAAACAACAATTACTCCGGTTCTTGGAGATCTGGCGGTGAAAACCAAAGCTTTGCTACCTGCTACTAGCGCCTAGCGGAAAAGGCAGAACTGTAAAGCAGCAGACGTTAATGGCGGACTGACTAGTGACTAGTACTACTGAAGGAGTGCGATAGAGTGACAGAAACAGCAAACGCAAAGACTGTTGTTCTCCCTCGCTGTAGCACGATGAAATGGTACTTCGTCGCCGTGCTTCTCACCGTTCTAACTAGCTCTCAGGTCAGTCGCTCGAGCTCGTCCTCCGTCCGCCCTTCTTTCCCTTTCAATCTCCGTCGTGGATCGGCGGCATTCAAATTCGCCGATTCGCTTTCCTTCCTCTTACTTTCCCGCTAGAAGTGGAGCTGAATTGCTCTTTAGCGTTCCTGTTTTCGTTCCGATTTCATGAGATTTCATTTGGCGCCTGTTCGAATGTGGATCCCTATTGCATATGGTACTATCGATCATGATCTCAAGAAATGACTCTGTTCAGCAGGCGTGGTTGAGTAAAGAGATTCTGCCATAGCAATGTCAGGCAGCAGCGCCAGTAGAGAGCTTGTGATAGTTGAACTTCTCAAGTATGGGGGCGGAATTCGTGAACTGATTGAATGTGTTTGGTTTATAATGTTTAGGGAATCTTGACTACTCTGTCTCAAACTAAGGGAAGCTATCTCTATGATTATGCAACCGTTCCATTTCTAGCAGAATTCTTCAAGGTAGCTCTTGACACTTTTAATTAACCTTTCGTTCGTTATATTTGTAACCTTCCTTATTACTCCAGGGGATTGTTCTGCAATTAGTTCTTGTTTAAGGTAGGGGTCTTTTCTTGTTTAACTGCAGCTGGTGGTATCTGGTTTACTTCTGTGGCGAGAATTTCGGGCAACACCGTCGATGCGAATAACCACTGAATGGAAGACTGTGCGGTTGTATCCAATCCCGTCCATCATATACCTGATTCATAACAATGTTCAGTTTGCTACACTCACTTATGTAGACACCTCCACGTATCAGATAATGGGTAATTTGAAGATTGTCACCACTGGGATATTATTCAGGTGCTTGCTTTACTTATGTTTTTCTGGTTACATCTGTGAAGCTTTCCTTTATGATTCATAACTTAGCAGAGCTAATTCCCCATATCTCCTTATTTTCCCAATTTGAAGGTTGTTCCTTAAGAGGAAGCTGTCTAATCTCCAGTGGATGGCAATTATGCTGTTGGCTGTCGGAACAACCACTAGCCAGGTAGCTCTCCTTTACTTGTAACAAAGATGCTGTCTCTAGAATGCAGTTTAGGACAGTTTTTGCATATGGTTTTCATCCGTGACGTGGATTATGATTCATGTGCTCAATACATAATAAGGTTAAGGGTTGCGGAGCAGCTTCCTGCGAATCTCTTTTTTCAGCTCCAATTCCAGGTTACTTGCTGGGCGCTCTCTCTGCCTGCCTCTCAGCGTTGGCTGGCGTTTACACAGAGTTCCTAATGAAGAAGAATAATGATAGCTTGTACTGGCAGAATGTGCAATTGTATACGTAGGTATCTTTCCTGTTCTAGAATTGTGTTTGCGAATTGATACATAGTCTCATACTTTCCTGTAGCAGAAGCTGCGCATAGGAAAAACTTGACGGAATATCTGTCTGGCTTTTAGATCTGTGTTCTAAAACCATTTACGGTTGACCTTCAATAGCTAACTTTATGGCATCATCGTCTGTTTCCAGGTTTGGAGTGTTATTCAACATGGCAAAGCTTATAGTAGATGATTTCCAAAGTGGATTTGAAAAGGGGCCTTGGTGGCAACGTCTCTTTAATGGATACAGCATAACCACGTTTCTGGTTGTTTTGAATCTTGGCTCGACTGGTTTGTTGGTTTCATGGTTGATGAAGTATGCTGATAATATTGTGAAGGTAATACTTTCGAAACTGATTGTGTCTGTTCATCTTGTGCTTCTCCACTTTCAAAAGTTGACTGCCATATACAAGTCTTGTTTAGGTATATTCCACATCCATGGCAATGCTGCTGACGATGGTTTTATCAGTACTCCTGTTTTCGTTCAAGCCAACTCTTCAGGTACTTCTGGATGAAGTTATTACCTTCTACTGATTTTTCTTTTTCATTTCTTAGTGTTGTGGCTATAAATATATATTCTGGTTTCTGTTGGGTCATTTTTGCAGCTCTTCTTAGGTATCATCATATGTATGATGTCACTTCACATGTATTTTGCCCCTCCACACGTTCTTGTGGATTCGCCACCTAAACCCAAACCTGTTCCTGAGGCCCTACAAGAAGTTTCTATCGATCGAAGGACCGATTCCTGAAAGACTCTGACCTAGGTAACAACTACTGGCTTTTGTGACCATCTCATTTCAAGTAGCATCCAAACCAGCGACGGATGTTGGCACTTCATGTTCCATTGGGAGATAAGAAGCAATATTTTTCTTCGGAACTGGTAAAGCCTCTGAAATTTACAAGCCCATATTGAGAGCTTTTTTGGGGATACGAACTGAGCAAAGCGAGGGATTCATCACCAACAGAGTACCATACTAGTCTATATGTGGATGAACATTGATGATATTGTCATCGAAACTAACTGTAATTGCTAATGGTACATGGCACGCCTCGTCGTTTTGCCTTCCATTCTTTGCTGCGAATTAGTCGAAAGAAAGTGTACAGTGAGTTATGAAGGAAAACCAAGGAATGTAACACGAAATTTTATTTGTGCTCTCCATTTTCAGCTGCCTGACTGTCCTTGTTGTTCTGATTAAGGGCTCCCCAGAATTGGCAGTGGCAAGACGACAACGATTGTTTCCTTCAAGAATGACAATAGGGTTTCTTTCATCTGTCATAGCAATCGTTTTGAATGTTGAAAGGGGTCGGTGTTGTGTCTGTTCCCTCCGTCCAGCCTGCCTATTCGTGATTCGATGACTGGTGTATGCGAAATGCGAAGACACCACAATCACTTGTTCATTTCCGAGTCTCGTGTACCACACGATAAGAAATCAGATGGCTGAGGGAATCATAAATACCACTTCTGAGTGGTACTAGCTAGCTAGAGAACAATTGCCCCAAGTCCAAGTCAAGAGTTGTTATCAATGGCAGGTCCCCTATCTATACTGCAACTGATAATGCAGACACCAACTCATCAGATCAAAAACAGTTTGCATCCATAGAAACAGAATACAATTCCTGAACCACGACGTCCGATTTAATTCCAGGATCGTGACAACTGACTTGTGTGTCAAGTAATCCCAGTTCCAAAGCATGGTGGTGGGAAGTGAGCATATCATCAGATCCTCCTAGCTCAAACCCTTTCATTTTCAGGTGCATTAAATTTGCCCTAGTTTAGCAGCCTTGCCTTCTCTGCTTGTGCAGTTGTATCTCGAATTCTCGATTACCCTCCAATCTTCCTACCTATCTAGCCTCCCACCTCTATAAAAGGACAGAAGGGACCGGGAACTAAACCAAGCAAGCAAATGCTGTAAACTGATCATCTCTAGCAAGAGAAGATGTTGTTGGACATGAATGCAATCAGAAGCTGCTCCGGTTTCGATTTCAGTACAGTATCAAGGAAGGGAGCTGGTCAAAAGGGCTCATCAGCATCGTCAGGATTTCAGATGCCACTCCACTACCCGAGGCTCAAGAAGAACGACTACGAGACGATGCCCGAGTGGAGGCTGGACTGCTTGTTGAAGGAATACGGCCTGCCTGTTGTTGGAGGTGTTGATGAGAAGAGGAAGTTTGCCATGGGAGCTTTTCTTTGGCCTTCAGAGCAGTAAAAATTACCAGAGATATAGAAGTAAATTACCTGTGGCATTTGGTCATAATGATCATACATGAACATGATAAACTCTGTTAAAACAGTTCCATAAGTAGTAATCATATCACTTTTGATTCATTTTCCCCCATCATTATAAAATCCAATATCGATATATATGTGATCTGTAATCCACCTACCTTTGCAAAATCCAGTTTCCACCTGTGCAATGCACCTTCCAGTCAGGAACAGCTAATCCTCCTACAAAATCTGCAGAAAATGACCACATTATCTTCGGGCAAATGACACATTTGGTCACTGAGATTATTAAATTGTGTCATGTTTAGTCACTAGAAAAATTTAATATCAATTTTGGTCACTCGAATTACCGAAACTGGTCAAATTTAGTCACTCTCCCGTCAGTTTCCGTCCAACTCCATTAATGTAGTTGGACGGAAACTTTTGGGAGAGTGACTAAATGTGACATGTTTCAGTAATCGGAGTGACTAAATGTAACATTTTTCAATAATTCGAGTGACCGGAGTTGGACAGAGGCTACAGAAGAGTGACCAAATGTGACCTGTTTCAGTAATTCGAGTGACCAAAATTGATATTAAATTTTTCTAGTGACTAAATATGACACGATTTAGTAATCTCGGTGACCAAATGTGTCATTTACCCTATTATCTTCAATACCCTTCAAGTTCGTTATTGTGTAATGACTGAATTATTGAAGTAATCATCACAAAAGAGCTACTCACTCCATTTATCTTATTACTATTCCAAAATTCAAAGTAGACCCCTACTTATTTGCCATACCATATCCAATTTATTAGAACCCTGCTAATTTTTTTAACCTTTCTGTCTCATTTCTCTAGTAAATCTTTACTGAAACAAAAACTCTCTGAATATTAATGTTACGTGGTCAAAAAGAACAAATTTTGTATAATGATTCGAAAATATGGAATATTATATATTGTTTTTTTTACTATTGATTCAATATTGTACCCTTGCCTAGTCAATTATTATATATATAGTAATTAACAATATCCATAAGTTGACATGCTAAGTTATAACTTATAAGTCACCTTCTTAGTTCTTTCTCTAAACCGTTTCAACAAGAACAAAATCAAACACAAATTTGAACCATCCTGGGAATGTTTGTTGGCATTGGCTGTCCAAATTTTCATTCTTACGTTATATAGGTGTCATAATCTTCTTCTAATTTGCTAAGCTGCCAAAATTTCATCACTTCTCTCTGTACATCGAAATCTTGCCATTCAAATTAACGATACATTATTTTTTTCATCCAAATCTATTTTAAAACGACTCGAACCATCCACACTTTCAAGAACATACGGCAAGACAAGTATCAGCAAACTTTAACCCTCGTATCAAAATCCCTTCTTCGCGACTTCTAGTATCCTTGAATCATCCAAAACCATCCAAAACAAATTTTCAGTTTGGAGATGAATGTCCCATCATGAACAAGCATCTTTGGTTCCCAAATTCAATCCTCTTCTCCTTAACCTACACATTAACATCACTTCCTTATTCGGTCAAACCTCGTATTCCTCAGATTGTCTAGCTTCTTAAGAAATTCGAGGAAAGTTCCATATACATACAATTACAACGCAAGCAAACAAACAAACAAACACAGGTTTTCAAAAGGAAATACTTCAGGTACTGAAATTTAACACAAGTTAAAATAAGGAACTGGACTGTAACTTAATCCATACACATGACGTGGACCAATCAGAACGCCAGCATATGGCGCGAGAAAATGACGAAGGACAGACTGTCCTTCGGCAGGGCGGGAATCCCATACCCTTAAAAAAAGGCAACAGAAGGAGAAAAAAAAAAGTGCCCTGCCGCGAGAACGGTCACATGGGCAGCGGGCCCCACCATTTAACGAGAAAATAAAAACGAACAAAAAAAAAAAAGTACTGAAATTTAAATTTTGTGTACAGGCGACGACAAATCGGCTGTACCGTTTTTCATCAATCAGCAAAAACAGAGCTGCGGTATAAATCTCGACGCCGCGGCTTGTGTCCAGCTTCGTCCCCTCAACAACATCGAAGAAAAAGCAGGCAGACGCGATCCTCCGGTGGTTTTGGCTTCGTTTTAGGAAGTAAGGAGACCTTGGCTTCTCTTTCTCTCTCTCTGCGCGGCTCTCCAGAGCACAAAAAGGTGTCCGTTTGGTTTACGCAGAGAGAGGAGAAAAAAAAACCCCCCAAAAAGCAGAAAACATAAAATGGCAGTTTCAAGAGTCGCCGTTGCCGCCGTCGCCGTCGCACTCATCTTCGCCATTGCGTTGCCTGCTGCTGTTCAGGCTCAGGGCATGGCGCCGGCTCCGGCCCCAGTCGCCACCAGCGATGGTGAGTGGAAATTACTCTTCTTTGTTTTCTCCGGCGCTTTCAGTCGTAGATCTGAGATGGGTTCTGTCCAAAGTTCGGATCTTTGATGGAATTTGAGAATGTGGGTTCTGATTTTTGGGTGGTTTTCCTCAGGGACGTCGATTGACCAAGGAATCGCTTATGTGCTGATGCTGCTGGCTTTGGTGTTGACTTACCTGATTCATGCGGCAGATGTGACTCCCAGCTTCTAAATTAGACGAGGAGATGATGATGGAGAGCAGGAAGGAATTGATTTCGTGATTCATTTCTTTGTCAATTGGGTTTTGGAACCTTGGTCTTCTGTATTTTAAGGTGGTCCTCTGGTTTGCCTGTGTATTTATTGTTTTGATCATGGAGGACAAGTTGGGATCTCTTTCGTGCTTGTTGAAGAAGGAGAAGGAGAACAAATGTGGGGTTGTTGGGGGGAATTCTAGCGGCTGTTGCTAATGTTATCATCTTGTTTGGTGGGCTTATCTTTCTTTCCTACTCCTGTCCCTTTCATTACTCTCATCAAAGTTTCCCAGCATCGTTCTGTCATTGCTTGAAGAATCAAAGCATTGCAGCAACTCGGACGCAAATGAAACTCAGAGCAAATTCGTGCCACACTAATGCTGATAAACAGACAGTATCCGGCATTGGAAGACAATGTCGATAGCAACAACTGAAGAACAAGCTTAAGAAGGGCCATTGAATATTCATCAGCTGGGCATCTTAAATTGACCATTCAAAGTTTTACATCATTGTGTGAGGAAACATCAAAAGAGCAAAAACAATTGAGAGTCAGATTCGAGATCGAAGAATTTCATAATCTTCTTAGCACCTCTGAATAATCAGAAACTAAGATTCTTCAGACATCAAAAGCTCAACTAGCGACTAGCAAGTGAAGTCCTTGGACTCAAAAGACATGAACTTGATACACCCCACAACGAAAGATGGATCCGGCAAAGGGCCAAGAGTGTGTGAACTCAACCTTTCTTGGGGGATACCTCATCAGCTTCTTTCTTGGCCTCATTTGCTAGGGAGAACTTCTTCACATTCTGCAGATGAACAATGGCATATACCAAAACCCAAAAGAGGAAATATCATAAGCATACAAATGGAAGGATCAGATACAAAAGACCAGTAATGCATCACGCCATATGGAATGCTCTGCTAAATCGCATAAAGCTCCATTCAATCTAAGCAAGCTCATCAATTATCAGATCACCAAATGCTCTAACTCCACAGAAGCACAGTTTTGCCTCAAATCTCTTAGCATTCCCCGAGTGAAAGCCAATAAAAGACCAATCAATCTCTTAAGCGAAAATCAGCTCAGAGTGGTGGACTCGAGTACTGCAGATTGTAGTAACTCTCCCCTAATGCTCTCTTTAATAAAATTGTAGATTGTACTTGTTATAAACGCGCTGCTACGGATCGGGAAATCGCCGGAATCGACAAAGCAAGAATACGAAAGTGAGAATCGAAAAAAGAACACAGACACACGATTTACGTGGTTCACTAACACGATGTGTGTTAGCTAGTCCACGGCGAGAGAGAGCCAGTTTCACTATATCGAGAAGATTACAGAGGAGTATGAGAAGTATTTATAGTATTGACAATACTAATTCTCAAACACAGGGCACCTTCGATTATACAAGCTGCGAAAGCAGCAGAGGACCCAATTTTACAGGCACAAAACATCGAACGACGGCAGAGAAAAAGATCGAACAAAAATGGGCAAAATCGAATCGACGTTTGCTTCGTTTTACCTGCTTCACGGCACAATCTCGCAAGGCCTGCAAGAGGCGGAGGCATTTGTCATTGTCGTAGGGCGATTGAGCTACGCAGTTGAGCAGATCCACCGCTGCTTGGCCGCACACCGCCACCGCCTTCTCCATCGCTGGTCTGCCCGCCGCTGCTTCTTTCTGGGCTTTTCTTTCTCGCCGAGTTTGACTCAAGCCTCCCTCTCAGTTGGAATTGGGTTGGGCCAGAGTACACGTTGTGTGGGCTTCTCCGAATAGGATTGCTTATTCGGCCAACTTCGGTAAGGGCCCAACTAATGAAGCAGAGCCCAGAAAGTCGGCCTACCTGTTTCATTTTTGCTGAAGAGAGGACAGGCCCGGTGTCTCACATGGGCCTAGCTGTGGAAAATGTTTTGCTGGTTTTTTAACACGGTAAACGGTTTCTTATCAATTCCTCTGTTAAAAAAAACCGGCTAGAACGTTATGGTTTCGAAAATAATGCCGGAAATTAATTACGAGTTAGAAATTTCTTGTTTTAACCGAAAACCGAATCTGATATGCCACCTCATTTATCCTAATCGGAAAAAAGAATTCATTTTAAAACGAAACGATTTTTCGCATAAGCAATGATTTCTTTTAACGACTTGACAAGTTTTCCGACCACCACCAAATCCATCATAGATATGCATTGATAGAGAGAGAGGGGACCCAATGGCCTCACGAGTTATGTAACGTGAGATGGCAGTTGACATTATTTTAGGTTATTAGGTAAGGGTATTTGAGAAAGCTGCTGCTGCAGCAGCGAGAAGCGCTTGCCGGAGAAAATGGAGATTGCAGACAGTGCAGCCATTATTATGATTGTATAATGAAAGCCACAAGAGGTGCGTGTCCCGGCTGTATCTGCAATCTTAAGGTGTGGGCGGCGGGGACATAATAATTCATTGTACATTCTTCTAGGTAGCCATTAGTGATCCAAAATACCAACTACTCTTTCCCATTAGGAATGGCAATTTATACCTTCGAGTTATCGGCCAATACGATGTAATTGAAAGGTCGAACACGAGCGACAACATCGAAAAATGACAAAACATTTCGATAAAGAGTTTCAGTAGCAGAAACAGTGTCTCGTTGGTGGAAGTTGCTTGCTTGAAGTAGCAAGCCATCGAATTCCTCTGTTCATTAATGCACGACTCTGTTTTCTGGTGGTGATGTGTTGTGTCTGATTGGGTTGGGTATGAAATCCAAATGGATGGATATGGGTAGAGTTTAATGGATTTGTACTCATACTCATTTACTTGGGTTGGGTTGGGTTTATAACAAATGGATTCGGGTTTGTACCCATGCCCAAATGCAAATTACATTTTGGTTCCTAAACTTAATAGATACGCATATTTAATACCTAAATTTAATTTTTTATTTTGCATAGAAGTCCTCAAAACATCGATGGAAAATTACATTTTGGCACCTAAATTTTTCAAGTTTTACAAATAGATCCAATTTTTGTATGTGTAGTTAAAACACCCTCAAGTAAATGGATATCCTCGATTCAAAAAAAAGTAAATGGATATCCATATCCAACTCATACTCATTTAGATTATGGAAACAATATTCATACCTTACCCAAACCCATCTACAAACCCCCAAACCGATATATACTTCACTCATATCCAACCCATTATGAATGGGTCTACTTGGGGTTTTGGGTGTAATTTCCCATGAATGGGTAATTGACATCCCTATTTCCCATGTCCCCACATGTATACCACGGAACATCGAACCCATAGAGTATACAACATGTATTCCGAGTATGAATGGGAATGGTGAGGTGAGTGTGGGTACTCGATATTCATATTCGTTCCCGATATTGTCGGGTCTAATTCTGATATGTTATTATATGGTATGGATCGGTATATCGCTTTGTCACACATTGAGTATGTTTATTTGTAAGTTCTCAAATGTCTCTAACTTTATTTGCTTGAAGTAAAAAATAGAGAGGGGCAAGCGAAGCGCATTGTTATTGTTCAGTTGCCCAAAAGCCAGCTCCATGAATCGCTGTATCCTCGTCCTCCAACAACACTTCAGTTATTACCATGCTTAATTATTTGCCTAGCTTGTTCCCCTTTTCCCACCCATCTTACATCTTACAGTTTTTAACAACCTTGCCAAAAGCTTTACAAATTACAATAATGGTGGACAGGATGTAAAAGAATGATATCCCCTGCAAAATGTCATGGCAGTGAGGTTGAGGCGCGGCAGGTTCAATCACACAACGTTTCTCGTTGATCGTCGTGGGTCATGTCGGGTAATTCTTTTGGTAAAAAAATAAAATGAAGGTGGATCAGATGGACTCGTTTAACCTAATTATGTATCATATACGTTACTGGATCAAATGAGAAGCACGCCTCTCAACTCAAGATACAATATCAAATAAAAACAATATATCAGACAAAATAGAGAAAGGACTTTCCGTGACACTACGTGGCGGACAGTCCAATTAGCCGTCCTAGTTAGAAACTGCTATATATATATATATATATATATAATTTGAACGCTAGATCCAGAGCTGACACCATATGAATGCAATATCGAAGAAGGATGAGCCATCACTTTTGATTGAGTCACCTTCAACAATTTGACACATCGGATGGGCAAAAAGATTGGACGCCATGAGCTATATCCACCTCCAAGCAGTGAGCAATTCATCAGCAAAACAAGAATACATGTTGCTTCCTGTACTCAATGTGACAATGATTGTGCCATATATATATATGATGATATAGCAAACTTAAGTCGTCTCTTTCACCGGTCGATTCTCATAGCAAACACATGCAATTTATGCACACTGATGATGTCTCCATCGCCCTTAGCAGATCAGTACTGCCCCCCACTGGCCCCAATTGTAGGTTTACATTGAATTGTGTAGAGCAAGCATATGGACATGAAATGGCCAAATGTTCACTTCCATATCGAGAGTGGAAGAGGTTGTGATCAGATGGTTCTTGCACATGTTATTGGAATATTTGATTTGAGAGATGATCTCGTGTTTGAACCCTCAAGATGAACACAGTTGATATAAGTACGCGAAGATGTAGCAAGTTCGTGTAAGTTTGCAAATTCATGCACGTGGCTGGCCAATTGCATCCTTGTGAAAGAATATATAATTCGCCAAGAAATGAGCTAAACGTATCCGATTATCCGCGCAAATTTGATGGAAGACCACCTGTATATTAAAGATGTATTTGGGATGGGAAGACTGAGATTCTTATATTCATCACTCACACGTCAGATGTTCCACCTACAGTGATTTGTAACTAGCGAGAAAGAGCATTTCCAATATGTCAAGATTAACATCAGATGCTATGGTAGTTTCGAAAGTGCTCGAGGCCGAAGATTTTATGATTCGTTTCGTAGTGTGAAATTCGGATTTGGCCTGGTAGGATAATCATAAGTTCACAAGGAAATGGTAGACGTATGGTCAACTACTGACTCAACTTGTATCATGCATATGCCTAAATTGCCGCAACTAATTTATAGCTTAGCTTCCCAACTCCAAGAAAAAAAAGAAATGAATGCTAAATTTAGCTGTGCCTGACGTGGAATTTTTCCAGTCTCTGACTCAGACCACACGAAGTCCACGTAAGCAATGTACACACAGCTTTGGGTTGCGGATCAGTGACGTGGAAGCCCAATGAGGTGGGAATAGGAATTTCCATTCATACCCTTTTTCACTCACATTTATCCACTTGGGCTTTGCGGCGGGCCCACATCACGGGCAGGGAGTGGGGGGGAGGAGTCCAAATCAGCAGACGCAAATAATGCAGTATAATTAGGTGGGGCCCACGTATCTGGAAAACAGTGATGGGCTGAGCTGGGCTAAGATATGGACCACCGCCGCTTCATCGCCCCATTTGCATAAATGGGACCAGGCCCGATTTTGGCCCAATCAAGATCCGCCGCGGGCTTCCCAGCTGCTGATGCGCAGAGCCGTTAGTCTGACAAATCGACGTGTACGGCCCAGATTGATTGTAGAGTTACAAGGAAGATCCTCCGAGATTTTCTTCCTCGAGGCTCTTTTTCTTTTGCCTCGTTTTTTTTTTTTTTACTTTTTTCGGTTCGCCCAGAGATATTTACAGGGTTTTGGGGAGTTGATAAAGGTCGTCCTTAAAATTACTATTGATCGTCCTAAAAAATAACAAAGTTACACTTTTAACCTTTTGACATTTTTAGCAAACAAACATCACTTTAACTAAAAAAATGAAAAACACTCAATTTCCCACACTCTCGAATTCATCGTTGACATTCTCGAGTCGTAATCGTTGAGAATACGTCCGAATCATGAGTAGCGACTCCGACGAGGTAAAAATCTTATTTTTT